CGAGAACACAAGGGGCATGCGAGACAGAAGGGGCCAGGGGAATTCAACGGGGGTACGAAAACGGAGGTTTGGCTATTCGAGAGGAGGCGGAGGAGGAGGAGGAGGAGAGGGGGGAGGAGGTCGCACATGTTATTTCAAAGGGGGGCAGAAATAACATCTTCGTGGTCCGCCTTTCTGGGGTACGTAGCTCGCCTATCTGGAGCGTGCCCCCTCCCCTCCTCGTCCTCTGGCCCACCCCCCTGGTAGAAACCAAGCCTAACGCGTCGCGCAATTCGGGCATGCTGTTTTGGAGGGGTAGGCCGAGAAATACCCGCTACGCCCAAAAAGAAACGCACGCCCACCCAGAGAAAAAAAGAAACCATAACAAACGACAACATCAACATCCAACGCAATACCCCTAGCCGTTTTGGCTCTGGTACTTGGCCAAAGCCCCTTTTTCTTTTTTTTTTTTTTTTTTTTTTTTTTTTTTTTTTGTCTTTTTTTTTTGTTTTTTTTTTTTTTTTTTTTTTTTTTTTTTTTTTTTTTTTTTTTTTTTTTTTTTTTTTTTTTTTTTTTTTTTTTTTTTTTTTTTTTTTCTTTTTTTTTTTTCTTTCTTTTTTCTTTTTTTTATTTTGTTTTTTTCTTTTTTTTTTTTTGTTTTCGCTCAAGCTATCAGCTGGTGGCATGCCTGGTTGGGACGACGACGTCCCGCAGTGGGACAATTTCGATGATCTGATCAATGATGCTTCCGACGCTGAGGATGATGGCGACAAAGTAGATTGGGGCGCGATCTCGCAAACAGAGGCTGGCCAGTCTCTCGCAGACTTGCTGCTCCAACTCAAGCACGAAGGGCACATTAGCTCCAAGCGGTGCTGCGTCATTGCGTTTTGGGCGGAAAAGAGTGGATCAATTGGGCCAGTGTCATCTTTCTCGTTGCGCCCCGACGCTCAGAGCGGGCACTACCAAAGAAAAATCGACAAGGTACTGTCAGATAACCTCGCAGAAGATGGATCTTTATATCAGCTATGGCTTCCGATGAACAGACGGTCCGACGCGAGTCGAGTTGTGGAGCCGCAACCAGTGATACCTGTGCACGAGCGGTTGTGGGATGAAATGTCGGGCTCACCTGAAATTGAACAGCAGCTTCGAGAAATGGTTGATCAGAATTTGCTACCTCCATCGTACTGGTCGCACCCCGTGGTGGTCTCTCATGCGGGCCCCAACCCTGTGCATCCAGTGGCGTTGTACCTCGATGGTGTACCTACCCATCGCCACGATGGGGTCGTCGCGGTCTATGCCTTCTCACTCGTTTCGAAAGTTCGCCATTTGGTGGCCTGCCTACGGAAGCAGGACATCTGCAAATGTGGATGTCGAGGCTGGTGTTCTGTGTACGCGCTGCAGCTCTGGCTACTTTGGTGCGCCAACGCTATGGCGTGTGGGCACTGGCCTGATCGGCGGCACGACCAGAAAGCATTCTTGGATGACAGCGACTCCGTCCGTGCGGCCTTTGCTGGATCAGCTGCCCCTGCCATTTGTGCTATCATGTTTCTAAAGGGCGACCTGATGGAGTATTGCACGACTTGGGGATTACCATCGACAGGTACCTACCTATTTGGCTGTCCTTTCTGTCATTGGCCTGGCGACGACAGTCTCGATGATGGAGCCGGCTTGTCTGCAGTAGGAGTTGGGTGGTTGGAACGAACTTTCGACGACTACCTTCAGGCATGTGACCAGTGCGAAATCAGAGTTAACTTATCTCACGAACAGCTGATGTTGGTTCGGGGGGCGCTCCGATATGAAAGGAGTTCCACGGGCCCGCGCGGCCGAGCACTCCGACGAGACTTGCCGTCGCTGGGACTCAATAAAGGTGACAGGTTAGAGACGACGCCAGACCGCCCAGATATAACGTGGATCGGCGACATCAGCGGGCCAGTCGACGACGTCGTATTCTGGAGGAGGTCTCGTGAGACGATCGCCAGGAGGCGATGTCCTCTGTTTAGCGCCCAGCTGGGCATAACGCCTCAACGATGTTTCGGCTTAGACTGGTTGCACGTCTGCAGCTTGGGCGTGTTCAAATTCTTCTGCGCATTCTTTGTTCGAAGCTTGTTCCAAGCAAATGCTTGGGGGTCACCTCATACAACACAAGATGCCCGAATCGAATTCAGTGTGCAAATTATGCGTGATGAGCTCTTCAGGTGGTACAAGAAGGAGCGCGACGATGGCCGTGAGCATACACAAGTACAGAATCTCACAGCTTCGATGTTCGGCAAAAAGAAAGCGGAGCTCAATCTGCATGGGAGTGAAACGAATAGTTTTTTGTTGTTCAGCCATACGTACCTTATGCCAAAATATGGGGCCAGCCTCGAAAAATCAGGAGCATGGGCTCGCGAGCTTCATTCATTGGTAACCTTGTTAGCTATCGTACGCGAGTTCCACGACACGATGCCAACATCTGAAGTGCAGCGGTTCATTGACAATGTCATTGTTCATATCAGACAATGCAAGGTGCTCGAGCTTCGTGGCATTCAGAAGCACCATTTTTTGATGGAGATGGCTGCAGCCCTTCTTCAGCTTGGCCCGCCAGCATGGTATGCGCGCTGGCGAGACGAAGGGCTCAATGCAATTGTCAAGCGGATCGTGGGGTCATCGCATCGTGTGACATGGGCATTGCGAACGTTGCAATCATTCGCAGAACTCCCTCCCGAGAGGAGGTCTTGATTTACCATCGATCACGCGATGGTCTTGATCCGTGCTCGTGCCTGGACTGCGCCGCACACTCGGCGACGCCTTGCAAAACACAAAAGAAGACATCACCATTGTGCAATTCGAGAGCTCTCGCTTCAAACATAGATGTGATTTGTTTTACATATGCGACCGCTTCGCGCTGCACCCCACGCGCCGTCTTGGAAAGGTCTCGGGTAGTCTTGGAGCCAGTCTTGGAGCCAATCTTGGAAGCATCTTGGCTTCATTGGGCCCTCTTGGCGGCAATCTTGGGGTCTTGGGAGGCCTTGTGGGCATTACTCGGGCCGTCTTGGAGATTAATTGGGGCAATCCTGGGCTGTCGCGGCGTGACTTCTTGGGGCCTTCAGGCTAAACAGGAGGGTGGGGGGGCGAGGGTAAATTCCCGAAGTATAAGTAGCCCAATCTGCGCCCTCCCAAGGGGCCTCGTGGGAGGTCTTTTTGTGGCGGGAAATGGTATACTTTCATACGAATTGTACAATTTTTAGACCCCCCCTGTTTACGTAAACAGGGGGGGTCTAAAATTCGAGTGCCGGGCTAATTTTCTAGCCCAGCTTGTGGTCCCATCTATGCTGAGTAATATCTCGGCGGCGGGTTGGGTGACGTTTTCATCGCTTCGCGATAAGTCCAGTCCAGTCTCACCCACCCAACGCTCATCCCTTGCACCGTTGTCCGCATGGGTTTCGGAAAGGGGCCGACAAAAGGAGCAACCCGCCCGCTCGCGCAAGGGGCCCCACCAACCCGTCACCAACAGGACAGACTACGAATGACATGTTTGTGGGGCCGGTTTTTTGGGGCGGGGGCAACTGTGGCGAGCCCTCCCCCTTCACCCCCCCTAAGAGAAAATGTTCAAACGAAAAACCTCCAGAGTCGCAAACGCATAGTCAATCTGCCCGCACGAGGCCCCAACAAGCACCATCACGGCAGCCAAGAGGACTCATCATTACCCCCAAGAGGCCCCCGACAGGCTCCACACGGAAACCTAGCAAGCCTCCAAGAGGTCTCACACCCACAACCCAGGCACGGTGGCGTGATGGGCAGACGGCCATTCGAAATTTCATCCTCCTCCTTCTCCTGCTCCTCCTGCCCCCCCCCTTCCTCCTGCGCGATTGGGAGAAGAGGAGCGAAGGGATGTTTCAGGGGCGGCCGCTGAAACATCCCCAGGAAGAGGGAAACAGGAAAGGGGAGCGATTGGGAGAAGAGGAGCGAAGGGATGTTTCAGGGGCGGCCCCTGAAACATCCCCAGGAGGAGGGAAAAAGGAAAGGGGAGCGATTGGGAGAAGAGGAGCGAAAGGATATTTCAGGGGCGGCCCCTGAAACATCCCCAGGAGGAGGGAAAAAGGAAAGGGGAGCGATTGGGAGAAGAGGAGCGAAGGGATGTTTCAGGGCGGGCCCCTGAACATCCCCAGGAGGAGGGAAAAGGAAAGGGGAGCGATGGGAGAAGAGGACGGCGAAGGGAGTTCAGGGGCGGCCCCTGAAACCTCCCCAGGGGGAGGGAAAAAGGAAAGGGGGAGCGATTGAGGAAGAGGAGAGGGGCCGAGCGATAGGGATGTTTCAGGGGCGGCCCCTGAAACATCCCCAGGAGGAGGGAAAAAGGAAAGGGGAGCGATTGGGAGAAGAGGAGCGAAGGGATGTTTCAGGGGCGGCCCTGTGCGCCGTTGTAGGTTTAAGTATAGCGTGTTCGGCTTGACTAAGGTGTAAACACGCGTATCTCAAGGCGCGGCGCGGGTTGTCGGCGCGCGAAGACGTCGCGCGGCATACGCAGCGCGCAAGTCACACGCGAATGTACAACGTGAATAATCGCACAAAAAAAACATCAATTTTGCACGCGTGCTAAACATCATATGGGAAGACGAATAGCCAAGATCGAAATAAACTGATCCTGAGGACCTCAGGGCTCCTCCTTCCCCTCCGGGGGGGGAGGAGGAGGGGGGCGGGAAGGAGGAGGAGGAAGGCTTCCTCCTCCGCCTCCTCCTCCGCCTCTTCTCCCACCCCTCCTCCTCCTCCCCCTCCTCCTCCTCGGCCCCGGCGGCTGCGGCGGCCAGCCCGGCTGCGGCGGCGAGCCCGGCGGCGGCGCCAGCGAGCCCGGCGCAGGCGGAGGCTTTTCCTCCTCCTCCTCCTCCTCCTTCTCCTCCTCCTCCTCCTCCTCCTCCTCCTGCTCCTCCTCGAGGCGCTCGAGAGCGACGGCGTGGACGTGGACGAGGGCGTCGTCGTCGCCGTGGACGTGTCCGACGACGACGTCGGCCATGCTTCCGCTGCGCCAGCCGGTGTCGTCGCTCAAGGTGATGAGGGGGCCTCCGCTGCGGGAACGGCGGGCGGCGACGCGCAGGGCGGCGGCGCCTCGCCCGCCTGCGCCCTCGCCCTCGCCTCGCGCCGCGCCCTCCGCGCGATCGAGGAGGGCGACGCGCCCGCGGCGGCCGCCGTCGGGTTTTTGCAGGAGGCGCTGGAGTCCTCTGGCTTGCCAGAGGATTACGCCACTCCCGCGCAGGTGGTCTCAGCCGTCCTCCAGAAGCCCGCCCCCGACGAGCTCCCCGGGCCTCCGGGGCCAGACTTCGACGGCGCTTCGCTTCGCGCTCTGACCGCAGCTCTTCAGGGGCACGCCCGCGCAGCAGACCAGCACCGAGCTTGGATCCAAGGGAGGCCGAGCGGCCTCAAGCCAGAGCTCGACAAGCAGACTCGCTTGGCGCAGCAGCGCCGGCACGCCGCCAAGCTTTGGAGGGCAGAGGCGATCTCGTTCGAGGACGGCCATCCAGAAGCCCACCGTGATGCGCGCCAGCGCGTGCTTCTGGAGATGTCCCGCGCGCAGTACCTGCGCCACGTCGGGCATGCAGTCGTGCATCTCAAAGCCGCGACCGACCACCTTCAGACGGCAACCCGGCAGCTCAGGATGGCCGCGAAGGACAAGGACATTCGTGACCTGGGTGCCCACGCTCTTGTGTTCTTCGCCCCGAACATTTGCGAGTTGTCGTGGGCCGAGGCATTGGGCGCGTTGCGCGACGAAATCGACCGCCTCGACTTCCTGGCGCAGCCGTGTGCGCGCACGGGGTCTTACGAGGCGAAGGCCAGCCACTTCCTCTCCTCATCTTCCCGCTCCTCCCTCCTTTCTCCTCCTCTGCTCCTGCCCCCCAGACTTTGCATGCCATCGGCGAGTTCTTCCGGGACAACGCGGCGGCTTCGCTCAGGGACATCGTCTCTTGCTGGGCCGACCACGTGCCGCACACCAAGCCCTCTGAGTTCATCGATCAATTATGCGGGGCGCTGCCCCTCCTGGTCGTGGACGTGCGGTTCGCAGGCCGCGGGGCGCCCAGCTTTGATAACGTATGGCTTCTAGCATTGGACAAACTCCCCAACGACGGCGCCGTGTACTTTTGGAGTCTCTTGGACAAGGCCAATAACACGTGGACTAAGCTCCAGGCCGAGGGCCAGGCAGCTCTCGAGGACCGCGGGGACGCTTCCGAGCCAGCAGCCGTTGCGCCTGAACTGTCTTCCTGTCCACCTCCCGGACGGGGCCGCCCCAGGACGGAGGACACCCCCCACGGCCCTGCCATTGTCAAGTTCCTCACAGACTACATCCGCTCACACGGGCAGCCAGCTACAGATGCCCATCGTCTATGCACGACGCCCAGGGTTGTCGGTGCATCCTTGACTATGATGTCCAAGGCGGCCAAGATAGCCGGGCTCCCTGTGAAGCGATCCGCCATCTACGCTCTCATGCAGAAGCCGCGCCGCAACCTACGGCCAGAGAGCAGCCCGTGCCGGTCCATCATCCCCGCCAGACCAGGAGGACTCGTGTGTTCCGAGAACAAATTCCACGCGCGGTCTGCGTGGTCTGCCACTAAAATGAAGTACGCTTGCCAATTCGCCACGATGCAGAAGGCGGCCGGCTTTCGCGCGGGCGAGCTCCACGTAGACAGCGTGAGCAAGGTGCCGTACTTTCCGACTGCGCCCCCGCGCAATTCCGCCACCTCCAGGCGCCAGGGGGCCCTCCTGGAGCCTTCCGGGGGGCCCAATACGGAACGATTCGATTTTATTTGTATCCGGTATCGATTCGTTGACTTTTTGTCCTCTGGGCGCCAGGGGGCCCTCCTGGAGCCCTCCGGGGGGCCCAGAACGGAACGATGGGAGTTTATTTGTATCCGGTATCGATTCGTTGACTTTTCCGCTTCTGGGCGCCAGGGGGCCCTCCTGGAGCCCCCCAGGGAGCCCAGAACGGAACGATTCGATTTTATTTGTATCCGGTATCGATTCGTTGACTTTTTCGCCTCTGGGCGCCAGGGGGCCCTCCTGGAGCCCTCCGGGGGCACCAGAACGGAACGATGGGAGTTTATTTGTATCCGGTATCGCTTCGTTGACTTTTTCGCCTCTGGGCGCCAGGGGGCCCTCCTGGAGCCCTCCGGGGGGCCCAGAGGCGAACGGATGAGTTATTGTATCCGGTATCGATTCGTGACTTTTCGCTTCCAGGCGCCAGGGGCCCTCCTGGGAGCCCTCCCAGGGAGCCCAGAAACGGAACGAGTCGATTTGATTTATTTTGTATCTTTTCGGGTATCTGATTCGTTGACTTTTTCGCCTCTGGGCGCCAGGGGGCCCTCCTGGAGCCCTCCAGGGAGCCAAGAACGAAACGATTCGATTTTATTTGTATCCGGTATCGATTCGTTGACTTTTTCGCCTCTGGGCGCCAGGGGGCCCTCCTAGAGCCCTCCGGGGGGCCCGGAACGGAACGATGGGAGTTTATTTGTATCCGGTATCGATTCGTTGACTTTTTCGCCTCGGGCCCTCCAGGGAGCCCAGAACGGAACGATGGGAGTTTATTTGTATCCGGTATCGATTCGTTGACTTTTTCGCCTCCAGGCGCCAGGGTGCCCTCCTGGAGCCCTCCAGGGAGCCCAGAACGCGACGATGAGAGTTTATTTGTATCTGGTATCGATTCGTTGACTTTTTCGCCTCTGGGCGCCAGGGGGCCCTCCTGGAGCCCTCCGGGGGGCCTAGAACGCAACGATTCGAGTTTATTTGTATCCGTTATCGTTTCGTTGACTGTTTGGCCTCTGGGCGTCAAGGGGCTCTCCAGGAGCCCTCCTGGGGGCCCAGAACGGTATCGATTCTTTGTACTTGTGGCGCCCAGGTGGGACCTTCCTTCACCACGCTGAAGACCCGCTGCAAACGCGGTGGCGGACATTATGGCCCGACAGAACGCCCAACCACGAGGCTTTTCCTTGAGGAACACGGATGGCACCCGCGCCCTTGTCGGGTGTGACCATTCATTCCCCTTAGCGGAGCGTTGTTTGTTGTGCACGGGCGCCGTCAGCCATTGCCTTGTCCCAGACTCCGCCGAAGAGGTCCCTGGAGAGCTGAAGCCTCAACTCAAGCAGGGGGTCCCAGATAAGCTTGACCTGTTCCTCAGGCCGTGCAGATATATGCCAGAGGATGCTCTGGGCCATATGCAAGACCTCTGGGAGAGTGCTTCCAGCCGCAGCCGGGATCTGGACATCGTTGTTGTCGGATCAGACAACGGCCCGGGTTATTCTACAGCGGAATGCCTCGTCCAGCACTTGCTATTCAGAATGATGCGCAAGTTCGATTGGTCAGACACCGTGATGCTGAGCCAGGCGCCGGACTTCAGCGCGTGGCATTGGCAAGCGGAACAACCCTTCGCGCTGATCAGGCAATCATTGGTAGGAAAGTCTTTCGGGAGAGCCTGGCCACCCGGAGTGGGCCCTATGCAGACCGGCCTCCCGCACGCAACAATCGTGGAGCGGTGCGCGCAGAGCGCTATGGCAGAATATGCTGCTCTCTTGCACGGAGTCGCAGCGGAGCGCGGCCTCGACTGGGTCGTGCGCTCCCGCCACCCCAGAGACGCCCCGGAGACTCTGCCGATCCAGGACGGGCCGCTCCTCGCCGAGTACTACTCGTGCAGAACGCCGGCAGCGGTCATGCAGGAGAAGTTCCGTGCTCTTCGCCAAGAGTCGCTGGATTTGGGCGCGCATGTAGGCGTCAAGGGCCCGTCTATCATCGAGTTCCGCATGTGTATTGGGGACGCCCGCTGCCGCGCGTGCGTGGAGATGCAGGCGCGCAAGCAGGGGCAGCGGCCCCACTGGACGCCGGAGGAGCTGCTTTCTCCGCTGCGGCGGTTCGGGTACACCGGGCCTTTCCCGGAGCTCCTTCAAGGCCGCTCTCATGGACAGCCTCCCGCAGATGCCCCTCCCGAGGGCTCGGTGCCGTCTGCCGAAGAGCAGGAGAAGCGGCCATGGCGAGTCTCCGGCCTCCCTCCACATGGCAGCCGGGCCGGCGGACACGGGACAGGGCGGCCCATACAAGAGCTTCCTGCAGATGGTCGGCCCCTCGCAGCTCCGCGAGCAAGCCTCGGTAGACATCCCACTCCACGGGAAGGAGAGACTCCTTCTATGTCCGCACGAAGCTTGCCGGTATCTGTCGAAATCCATCGCCGAGCGGGACAGGCACGTGCTTTTCCATCACGTCCAGGACGGGGAGGCACGCGCAGCCGCGGAGGAAGAGCCGCCGCCCCCGCCCCCTCCGCCGGCAGCGGAGTTCCCCTCGCTGGAAGGATGTCCTATGCGGCCCCTGCCGCCCCGGCGCCCGAGGAAGGGGGGGGAGGGGGGGGGCCGCGGCGCCCCTGGAGCTTCAGCGGCGCCCGATGGGGCCGGCGCGGATCCGTGCGAGGGCGAGGCGCCTGGGAGCCCCGCAGGCAGCGCTGCCGCGCCCGCCAGCCCCGCAGGCAGCTCCCTTCCGCCGCCCTCCCCGGGCACGCCTTCGCCATACCAGGACTGGGACTCGTTCAAGAACAGCCACGTGGAGCTTCTGGCGCTGGAGGAGCAGATCGGCGGCGGGCGCGGGGGGGAAACGAGAAGGGGCGGGCCTTCTGAGGCTTCTGAGAAGCCCGCCGGTCTTCTGAGAATTTTTCCTTGTCTTCGGAGAAGACAGGGGGGGCTTCTCGGAACCCCCCTGGGCTTCTGGGCGCAAGGGGGCCCTCCGCGCGCCAGGGGGCCCTCCTGGAGCCCTCCGGGGGGGCCAAGAACGGAACGATTAGAGTTTATTTGTATCCGTTATCGATTCGTTGAGTTTTTGGCCTCTGGGCGCCAGGGGGCCCTCCTGGAGCCCTCCGGGGGGCCCAGGGGCTCGGGGCTCCTGGGGTCTCGGGTGCTCGCGTGTTCTTGTGGCCCCAGGGGCTCGGGGCTCCAGTGCGCCCATGGCCTCCCAGGGCCTAGGGTTTCAGTCTAGGGGTCGGGGGGGCCCAGGGGCGTCTGGGGTTCCAGAGGCTCCATGTGCAGGTGCCATGGGCTCCAAGAGCTCTGGTGCACCCAGGGGCTCCCGAAGCTTGCGGGTTCAGTGCAGGGGTCGGGGGCTCCAGGGGCTTCTGGGGTTCCAGAGGCTCAAGGGGCCCCAGGGGCTCCAGGGGCGTTACCCTGGGGCGCTCAGGGCCTCCCAGGGCCTAGGGTTCAGTCTAGGGGTCGGGGGCCAGGGGTTTCAATGATTCCAGATGCTCCAAGTGTTCCAGGGGCTCTGAAGGTTTCGGTGCGCTCAGGGCTTCTCACGAGCTATCTGGGGCCCATTCTAGGGGTCAGGCCCCAGGGATTCCACAATTCACATTTGCTTCTACTGTTCCAGAGGCTCTGTTATTCGGGTGCGCCCAGGGCGTGACACTACCAATGGATTCTGTCTAGGGGGTCAAATGGGTCCCAGGGGTTCCAGTGGCCCCAAGTGCTCCAGGGGCTTCAATGACACCATGGATCTCAAGTGTATAGCTCGAAACGCACCCTAGGCGGTTCGCTTGAGACTTGCTCCTGGGCGTTTCGCTTGGGACATACCCATCAGTGGTCTCAGCGGTTGGTTGCACCGCCTCCATCTTTTTGTGCACAAGCACGTTGGTGCGTAGCCCATGCGTTATCAAGCCATCGTGGTGCGCGGGTGGCCTCGTGGCAGACTTCTCCCTGCGCGTGTTTCTTCTCGTCGGTGGTGCCAGCTTTCTGTGATGATCGCATGCCTTTGATGCGCAATATTTGCAATGCGAGTCCTCGTTGACAGATCGGTACCAATTGATTCGAATGACAGTCCATCCTTTGTTGCCGAAGCAACAATATACCTGTCGCGTGCCTTTCGGCTCAACCGCTCCGCTCACGCCTGGGGTCTAGGGGTCGGGGTCTCGGATGTTCGCGTGGTATTGTGGCCCCAGGGGCTCGGGGCTCTGGGGCGCCCAGGGCCTCCCAGGGCCTAGGGGCTCAGTCTTGGGGTTCGGGTGCTCCAGGGGCTCCAAGGGTTCCAGGGGCTCCGCGTGTTCCAGGGGCTCCAGGGGCTCAGGGGCGCTCAGGGCCTCCCAGGGCCTAGGGGTTCAGTCTAAGGGTCGGGGGATGAATGGGGTCCCAAGGATTCCACAGGCTCCACGTGTTCCAGGGGCTGCAGGAGCTCGAAGGTGTCGGTGTGCCCAAGGCTTCCCACGGCCTACGGTGTTTAGCCTAGGGGTCAGGCTCCAAGGGTTCCAAGGGTTCCAGTGGCCCCAAGTGTTCTGGGGGACAGCGGTGGCTCGGGCCTAGGTTTCAGCCGTTGGGCCCAGGTACTCCAGGGGCCCCAGGGGTTCTAGAGGCTCCAAGTGTTCCAGAGGTCCCGATGGCTCCCGGGGCCACCGATGTAGCATGACAAACGCCCTAGGGTGTCGCTTGAGACTTCCTCATGTGCGGTTCGTCTGTGACATGCTCATATGTGGTCCCAGCTACGCCTTGGACAGTACACAGCCTCATATTGTTTGTTGGCGGCGCCGACCGCTCCCCGCTCCAGAGTGATGCACGCTGCCGCGCGTGCAAGTCTTGGTGCCAGAGCACGGGCGTTTTTTTGCGGCCAGACCGATGTCAAGCATTTGCCACATGATTATTCGTTGCCATACCGATGCCAAGCCGTTGCCAAGAGACTTTTTTGTAGCACGCACATTCCTGACATATGCCTTTCGGCACACCCATTCCGCTCCCGCCTGGGTCTAGGAGGAGGAGGAGGAGGAGGAGGAGGAGGAGGAGGAGGAGGAGGAGGAGGAGGAGGAGGAGGAGGAGGAGGAGGAGTAGGAGGAGGAGCAGGACGACGACGACGACGAGGAGGACGAGGAGGACGAGGAAGGGGAGCCTGGAACGCAACGATGACAGTTTATTTGTACCCGGTATCGATTCATTGAGTTTCTGACCTCAGGGCGCCCTTGGGCCCTCCGGGGGCTCGGAAAGGAACGATAGAAGTTTATTTGTATCCGGTATCGATTCGTGGATTTTGTGGCCTCCAGGCGCCCTGGGCCCCACCTGGGGCCTCCCTGGGGACTGTAAAGGAAAGATTGTTATTACATGTTATTACTATTATAAGTAGTCGTAGTAGTAGTAGTAGTAGTAGTAGTAGTAGTAGTAGTAGTAGTAGTAGTAGTAGTAGTAGTAGTAGTAGTAGTAGTAGTAGTAGTAGTAGTAGTAGTAGTAGTAGTAGTAGTAGTAGTAGTAGTAGTAGTAGTAGTAGTAGTAGTAGTAGTAGTAGTAGTAGTAGTAGTAGTAGTAGTAGGTAGTAGTAGTAGTAGTAGTAGTAGTAGTAGTAGTAGTAGTAGTAGTAGTAGTAGTAGTAAGTAGTAGTAGTAGTAGTAAGTAGTAGTAGTAGTAGTAGTAGTAGTAGTAGTAGTAGTAGTAGTAGTAGTAGTAGTAGTAGTAGTAGTAGTAGTAGTAGTAGTAGTAGTAGTAGTAGTAGTAGTAGTAGTAGTAGTAGTAGTAGTAGTAGTAGTAGTAGTAGTAGTAGTAGTAGTAGTAGTAGTAGTAGTAGTAGTAGTAGTAGTAGTAGTAGTAGTAGTAGTAGTAGTAGTAGTAGTAGTAGTAGTAGTAGTAGTAGTAGTAGTAGTAGTGGTAGTCGTTGTCGTTGTCGTTGTCGTCGTCGTAGTAATAGTAGTACTTGCGTATAGTCGTAGTAGTCGTAGTAGTAGTCGTAGTAGTAGTAGTAGTAGTAGTAGTAGTAGTAGTAGTAGTAGTAGTAGTAGTAGTAGTAGTAGTAGTAGTAGTAGTAGTAGTAGTGGTAGTAGTAGTAATAGTAATAGTAGTATGTTGCGGCACCCCAGGCGCACCCCCGCCGTGACGTGATCGGCGGGGCGCCCCCCCCCCCCCCCCTCCCCATCACGCCCGTGACCGGCCCGAAAAAGCGAACGGGCTCTAACGGGGGAAAGCGAGGTGGAGGAGGAATGCGGTGAGGACGAGGAGGAGGAGGAGCCCCCCTCCCCACAGGCGGTGCGCTGATGCTGCTGCGGCTGGGCCCGTCGCCTTGGATGGGCATAACTGGGCTAGGCGGGCTTCCTCCGCCTCCCCGTGATTCCGCTACGGTCGGACCGAGACATAAGATCGAGGTCGGTTCGGGGAGGGTATCCCGGTGTTCTTCGTGTTTGTTGGATGTTCGTGTGCATCCTGGGGGGGGGTGCCCTCGAATATTCTTTATTGGGCCGGCGGAGGGTCTCATGTACTCGAAAGATGCTCTTCTGTGCTAGGTCTGGCCGTGCGTGCAGATCCCGTTGCTGTTCCTGGTCCTGCTCGTCGTCGCCTGCTCCCTCCTTCTCTCTGCTTTTTCTCCCGCTGCTCCGGCTGCCCCCCCCTCCACAGCACTGCCAGTCCTGGTCTGCTGGCGAGCACGCTCGACATCTCCAGGTCTCCGATGGCCACCCTCTCCTCTGGCTTCCATGTTTTCCTGTTTGGGGCAAATATGTGCGGGGAATACCCTCCACGGGATAATCTCATTTTTCGCAAGCGGGGGCGACGGTGGGAATGGGAATGGAAAAGCAAACAATGGCATAAACATATCATCTCGGAGGTCCGCGAGGATTGCTCGGCACGGCGCTGGACCCCCTCCCCCTGGCGCTCGGAGCGCGCCAGTGGCGGCGCCGGAGGCGCCGCCAGGGGGCCTCAGCGCCGATCCGAAAACTTCGCGCGGACCTCCGAGTTTTTATGTTTATGTCACTGTTCGTTCCCCGAGTGATATGGGGGCCACATGCGAACCCTACCCCTACCCCCACGATTTCTGAGGGGGAGGGTGGGGTTCACTTCGCTGGGGAGCTCCCGAACGAAGTGTACCCCCCCCTCCCCCTCAGAAATGGTGGGGGTAGGGGTAGGGTTCGCATGTGGTTTCCTGTAGGGAAGCAAGAAGGAGGCGAGGGGAGCGGCGGCGGCGACGCGCGCGCAGTGCTGATGCAGCTGCTCTCGCCCTCGTGGTTCGTGGTGGTGCTGGTGTACCCCGCCGAGGTCTTCCCGACGCAGGCCGGGTCGGTGGTCGGCGGGCAGCGTGCGGGGGGGGGTGGCTCAGGTCGAGGCAGGGCGCAGTGTGATTTCTCTCCGTTTCGGTTCGATTCGACGTCGATGGCTCTGGTTTCAGTTCGACTCTGCTTTTAGGTCGGGCACGTCCCTCTACAGGAGGAACGCTCCAAAGTAGTCACAAAAACAGTCTGGGACGATTTTTTGAATATGTTTGACCATCTGCGAGAATGTGTGGACTGTTCTTAAGGTTCCGTCCAAAATCCAGGGGAGGACATGCCCGACCAGACTCTACTTGGGACTCCGATTTGGGGCAGTCGGCGCAGTGGCGAAGCTCCGCCCGCTGTGCGCTCCGCCTCCACCTTGCTGTGGAGTCATATAGCGCGCCGCAGGTGCAGGCCAGAAGCTGTTCGCCCATGGCCTTGCGCGGGAACAACTCCTCCTCCTCCTCCTCCTCCTCCTCCTCCTCCTCCTCCTCCTCCTCCTCCACCTCCTCATTAGGGCTCCGATTCTTCAACGGAGGCCTACTGGCCTGCCGATTTCCGCCGATTCGGCTTCTCCCGACTCGGCCGGCGATTTCCGCCGATTCGCTCTTTTCGATCGCTGATCCCCGGCTTGTCGATTCGAGTTCGGGCTCCTGGGGGGTGGGAAGGGATGGGGAGGGGGGCAGCTGGGGCGGGCGCTAGAGGGCACGAGAGGGGGCAGCGGAGAGGGTGCGGCTCTGGAGTCGAGGGAGGGATGGTCGGACGGGGCGGGGGCGAGGGCGGATCCGGCTCTGGAGTCGAGGGAGGGATGGTCGGACGAGGTGGGGGCGAGGGCGGATCCGTTCCGGAGCGTCCCGGGACGCTCCCAGAGCGCCGCTCGGAGAAGGCCGCGGCGCCCGAGACCTCCGGAGCCGTCAGGTCTCAGAGATTCCCGATGCATCCTCACCCGATTTTACCTTCGTCCTGGCTTCGTCTTTGTCAGGAGGAGGAAAAACTCACAAGCACAAATAATCGTCGATACCCAATAAAGCATTTGGGAATATGGGACGTGGGTGGGGACGAAGCTCGAGGAAATATATAGGAAAATATAGGGGATCTGGGGATTTGTGTAGACGTATTATTTGTGTGTCTCTGGCCGCCTTTGCCTAGGGAGGGACGGCAGTGGGCACGTCGAGAGCAGGACGATGGATTAGCGACACTCGGGGGTGGACAGACCTCCTACCCTGACACGTCGAGAGGGAGTCGCGGCCGTAATTTTTGCGGGTCCAGGTCCGTCGGTTCTGGCCCCATGCCGTTGTCACTCAGGGGAGGAGGTTTGTCCACCGCCGAGACACGGGGGTCGCGCGTGCAGGGAGCGTGCGCAGCAGCCCGCACGGCCAGCGCACGGGCAGCGTGGGGGGGGGGTGCGGCGGGAGCGGTGGCAGCGGCGAGCGGCGCCCCGTCCCGAACGTTGGCCCCGGCCCGCCGGAGCGCGAGGCGGGGGTCCTCTTGGTCGAGGCGGGAATTTGTACATGACCACCGCCCGGAGGATCAATTTTCGGGGACCTCGGCAGGCGGTGGATATGCACATATTCGGGTCCCCCGGGGGCCACAATATCTCCACCGCCCGCTGGGGCACCAGGCACCGGGACGTCGGTTCCCAGGCGGTGGATATGGACAAATCCCCGCCTCGCACTTAGGTCGACCACATGTAAGAGGGATCAGGAAGCGCACCACCACCACCACCACCACCACCACCACCACTACCACCACCACCACCACCACCACCACCACCACCACCACCACCACCACCACCACCACCACCAGGGCGGGCTCAGGATGAGCTGGTGTGCAGGATGCGGTTGTGCAGGATGCGGGTATACACCACCACTATCCCTGACCACCCTCTGCCTCCATCCTCCAGGTGGTGGTGGTGGTAGTGCTTTTCCTGCTCTCTAGAGTGCGACCCTTCGCCAGAGTGACCGTTGGTGCGGGCTCATCGGGGGCCTTGAGATGGGGATCGATGCAAACAGGACCTCAGCCACAGCGCCAGATCTTGCAGGATCCTGCAGGGCCGGGCTGCACTGGCACGTGTTATCTTCAAGGATCCTGCAGGAACCTGCAGAGCCTGACTGACCCGGGTTTGGATTAACCCGGGCCAGTTGATCCCCGATCTTGGGCGGGGGGGTAGGGCCACGGTGTTCGAGGTTCGTTTCGAATCCTGTAGGGGTAGGGTCGAGTACACGTAAGAGTGACCTTTCGCCAGAGTGACCGTTTGTGCGGGGTCATCGGGTTCCCCCCGATCGCTTATCGCGATGCGATAGCGGCTGATTATGCGCTTGGATTTGGCCACCTTGCCCTTCCTTCGTCCGCGCACCTAAGATCGCTCTTGCCTGGGGTCACTCTTGCGTGTAGCCGATTCGGGGGGGATAGGGTCACTGTGTTCGAGGTTCGATTCGAACCTCGAACCCCGTGAGCCCGAGGAAGACGCCGAGAACCGGCGAAGACGCCCTTGTACCTTGAAGCGTTCGAGGTGCGAGGGCGTCTTCGCCGGTTCTCGGCGTCTTTCCAGCCTCGTGATGCCTTCCAGCAGCTGCGCCTCGCTGAGAGGGTTGCGAGGGTGCCCAGATCGCTCTCGGCGGCCTGAGTTTATCGTCCGAAGTACTAAGGGGCAACGTTGGTTGGGAGAGGCTCTTGGGGGACGTTCCGGCCCCCAGTCGCCCATGCTTCGCCGACAGGGTCCCGATAGTCCTCCCCCGACAAGGAACGGTCGGATTCGCGGCTGGGGGTCGATCGCCGATCTATCGGTGTTGTATCGCCGATTCCCTAACGTGATGTATCTATCGGTGATGTATCGCCGATCTATCGCTGATGTTTCTTTCTATCGGTGATGTATAGCCGAGGAAACTGACAGCCACCGTGCCTGGGTTGTGGGTTAGAGGCCTTCTTGATGCATGTGAGGGTCTTTTGGGGTGCCTCTCTTGGCCTCTTGGAGGCCTTTTGAGGGCCTTTGTTTACTGGAGGGGAAAAATCACACGGACACAATTAATCATTGATTCCCAGGAAAATATGGAAAAATATGTGAAGTGGGGGGGAAGACAAAACTCCAGGAAATATTTGAAAATATAGGGAATCTGGTTATTTGTTTGTGTATATATGTATATATGTGTATACATATATATACATATATATATATATATATATGTATATATGTGTGTGTGTGTCTCCCAGGGCCCCTTCATCTTTGGGACCTCTCGGGTGCCTCTCAGGGGCCGGCTGGCGGTTTCGGGTGTCCTCTGGGGGCGGAGGGATCGAAATGTCAGTTCGGTCCCTCTTGGGACCCTTCGGATGCAACTCCTGGGAGGTCAAATTCTGATTTAGCCCTGGTCCGAAATCCCGCTTAATCCGGCTTAATCCCGCTTAGTCCCGCTTAATCTGGTTTCATCCCGTTTTATCCCACTTAATCCGGTTTTTTTTATCCCGCTTGATCCGAGGCCCACTTCGTCTTAACAGCCCCACAATGGGGTTTAATCCTCCTTAATCCATCCGACGACAACCTCCCAGTAGTTGCTTCCTACGGACCCTCTTGGGCCCAGAATCTTTTGGGCCGTCTCGTGGCGCTCTGTGGGGCCTCTTCGGCCGTCATGGAGCGATGCAGAACGCTGAAGTCTTTCAAGCACGTTTGTGAAAATCAATGATTTGTGTCTCTTGCCCTCTTTGGGGGTTTCTCGTGAAGCGCTCTTGGGCCGTCTGGCAGGCGATCTTGGGCCGTCTCGCGGGCCTCTTGGACCACCTTGTAGGTCTCTAGGCGCCCTATTTTTCCCGGTCTTGTGGGGCCCCCTGGCCTCTGGAATAGTCGGGCCGGAAGCCCCAACATGCACGTGCTCCGCCCTGTGAGTTGTGAGTCTGGGCCCCTGAAACATTGTGGAGGGCCCTAAGAGGCCTAAGATCTGTAGGCGGATGTCCTTTTCATCCGCTGCTTTTGCGACTCAAGCCGTGCATCGCCTCGTAGCCCTCATACACTGCCCGAGTATTCAGCGATGCAGGGGGTTACAACGGTGGATTCAGCGAGTCATAAGTTGATCGCCATCCTCGAGTCTCTTGCCCATGCAATGTTGCCACCACAACGTGACCAAACCGTCCATTGCATACATGAAAAGGGATCTCTTTCTTGACTCCCGCGGCACGGAGGCGGGTCTGCTTCTGTTGGCCAAGTCTCTCCGGTTGATGGCGTAGAATTCACTTCAACCTGACCTGCAAATGAGCGACGCAAAAACAGGGGTCGTTTGCACGAGCATTTGCACGTCCACTGCCCGTGCAAGGTCGCTCATAAGCGTTTCCAGTGGAGCGTGCCGCGCTGGCGGCCCGTGTAAGTCATGGGGCTATTATGTCATCGTGTGCAAGACCCGCTTCGCTTCGTCGCTCAAAGAATCTCACCCCCGCCCCGTTTAGCCCGCCCCCCCCACGTCAACGGCAATGTGAAAGCTCGAATCTCGACCGACGATCTCTTTTGCAGGACCGCGTCAGAACTACTGAAGCGCATCCTCAGGTAACCAGAAGAAGAGCCTTCGGGCCCGTTTGCGCTGTGCCCGCTGAGCCACCGAGGTTTGATCCAACATGGCTACGGAATCGCCGACTGGACGTCAGCCCGCGTCCAAACAACCCCCTAATTCTTCTGGACAGTGACGGTCGTTGCTGGGGGGAGGGGGGGGCGGTAATCTGCCAATTTCCAGGAAGAGCCAGAGACAATTCGGAGGTCAGCACGAATCGTGCCATTACCTGTTAGGGGGCGGCTGGGACCAGTACAAAGGCCGCTGTGGCGAACGACAAGCATTATCGCTGCCCAGCCCGCGCTTAAGCACACCCCACCGGGCCCTCTTCAGCCCGTTCTCCTCAGGGGCAACGATCGGGGGGGACAAGCATAGGGGGATGCATCGACCCCCAACCGCCCATGGATCGCCGATAGGGGTCTGATAGCCCCGCACCGCCAGGGAAGGTGCTGATCAGTCGGCGATGTATCGCCGATTCCATGTCGTTGTTCCCGCCCTATCGGGGGTTGCTCAAGGTGCCCCTGGCGCAAGGTGCTCCCAGCCTCTCGCTCGATCTTGGAGCCCGTGGGGCCCTCTGGGCCTCGTGATGGGGTGCTCTGGAGGCCGTGGGGGCCTCCTTGGAAACCCTGGGGTCACCTTGGGCCAGGGGCACTTCTGGCAGCACCCGACCCTATGCCAATCCCCCCCATCGTTGCCCCTGAACGCACCTCGGCAGGCCGCGGAGACACAGCCCGCAGCGTCAGCGTTGGCGGGCGGTCGCCCGCCTGCCTCGTCGCACACGAAGAGGCCGCAGGGTGTTGGCATGGAGAGCCACGAAGAGGCCGCAGGGTGTTGGCATGGAGAGCGCGCCTCGGTCGCGGCGCCGGCCTCACCGCCCCCCCGCGGCCCCCCCCGCAGATCCGCGCAAGCGCCTTGTCCGGATCCTACTTCCTGGGGCTCTGCGGCGCGGAGGCTGGCCGCCGCCCGCCCGCCCTCCCTCCGGCCCATGGGCTGGCCGCGGCGCCGTGCCCTGCGCCCACTCCTTCTGCGCCGGCTCCTCCCTCCTCGCTCCTCCCCTTCAGATCCTCCTCCTCTTTCTGCTCCCTCCTCCTCCTCCTCCTCCTCCTCCTCCTCCTCCTCCTCCTACTCCTCCTCCTCCTCCTCCTCCTCCTCCTCCTCCTCCTCCTACTCCTCCCCCTCCCCCTCCTCCTCCTCCTCCTCCTCCTCCTCCTGATCCTCCTTCATTCGTTTATGTTATAAATCTCTTCTCCCTGTCGCACCCGAAGGCCAGTTTTAGGGCGGGCTGGGCGTTTCGCCTGGGACTTCCTCACCACGTATGACTCTGAAGATTAAAAAGTGACAGCAGCTTCATAGGCGGAGGGCGGGTCGTTTTCAAAATGTGGCTCTCGCCTTAGCGCCGCGCGCATTTGTTTCAAACATTTGCAAGAGTTTTACATATTGAAGGTGGGTTGTTTTCAAAATGTTGTTCTCGCCTTAGCGCAGCGCACATTCGTTTCAAACATTTGCACGAGTTTCACGGATTGAGGGCGGGCCGGTTTCAAAATGTGGTTCTCGTTTCAGCACCGCGCACATCCATTTCAAAGTTTGCAAGAGTTTCGCGGATTGAGGGCGAGTGGTTTTTCAAATGTGGTTCTCGCCCTAGCGCTGCGGGCATTTATTTCAAAAATGTGCAAGAGCTTCACGGATTGAGGACGGGTCGTTTTCAAAATGTGGTTCTCGCCTTAGCGCTGCGCCCCTTAGCGCCTTAGCGCCGCATACGTGTGTGCATTTATATATTTTATAAGAACAGAGAATTCGGAAGAGTTTCACGGAGTCCCATGATCAATGTACCAGAAATGGCGTCTTGGAAGTGTTCAGGATTCTGCGGGTGCAACAGAGATGTCGATTCGCGGTGTCGAAGTCCCCAAAACGGCATTCTTGCACGATTCCGGATCGTCAGGACGCAGCAGTCAGGTTGATTCGTGGCGTCGAAATCCCGAGAACAATATTTGGGCATGCTTCGGGGTCTTCAAACGGTTGTCGTCCAACGAGGCAGTTCCTTCAATGGAAGTGAGCAATTGTTGTATGGGGCTTATGAAGGGGAGCTCGGAGGGAGGGTTGATTCCAACATCGTTGATGACTCTTGGGGTTACACTGGTCCTCCTCCTCTTCCTCCTCTTCCTCCTCCTCCTCTTTCATCCCGTCGGCAGGGCCTGAGCTCAGTTGCGTCTGCGCACCATGCCGAGAAAGTGCCACAGCTAGGCCGAAATTAATTTTATTGTGTTGGTGGGTTCTAGTCGACGCGCAGCAGCCCCCGGCCCGAGGGCTCGATCGATCGCTCGATTTTCTCCTCCTCCTCCTGACTCTAGGTCGCTCCACAATCACCTCCTCCTCCTTGTCCTCCTCCTCCTGCTACTCCTCCTCCACCTCCTCCCCCTCCTCCTCCTCCTCCTCCTCCTCCTCCTCCTCCTCCTCCTCCTCCTCCAGATCCTCCTCCTCCCCCGCTTTACGGCTCTGCTCCCACCAGCGGGGACGGGCGGGGGCGGCGCACCGCAGGGCCGCGCCGTCGCCCCCCCCCCTGCGCCGAGGCTCACGGAGCCGCCAGAGCTTCGCGCCCACAGCGCCGTCCCCTCGCCCCTGGCATCGCTCGGACGTGTGCTTTTTGTCTCGGCGAGGGCCATCGAGGAGTATCCTTGATCATTCGGGGGGGAAGCCACGCACGAAACCGAAAAAACCACAGGGAATGGACGTCCGAGCGATGGCCAGCGCCGGACCTCGGCGTGCGCTTGAGCCGAGCATGTCGGTGCAGTGGCCAGGCAGAGGCGTCGGTGTCCGTGGGGTTCGCCTCGCCAGCGACCCCGCTCCGCTCTCAAGCCCTCGGAGCTGCGCGCAAACGCGCCGCCGCGAAGACGCTCGCGGGGGCGACCGGCCTCGCAGAGGGCCTTCGTTGCCTTTCACGGGCCCGGGCCCCACCGGCGACCCACTTTCAGTTGAGCGGAAGATCGGGACAAATCGGAACCAGAGATTATTGGAGAGTTCCAGAGAAAAATAGAACGCCGACTTGTGGAGCGTAGCGCGCGCATTCGCAGAAGTTCCCAAAGAATGTTCGAGGGCTTGAGGAGCCCAAGTAACACATGGGCGCCCAATTAAACTGTTGAGGGCGGGCAGAAAATCTGATGTGCACGAGCATTGTGAGCGGGTGCGCGGCTTGCACGAGGGGCACAGTAGGTTTGCGTTTCAGGGGCTTGGGCGCTGGCCACTGCGCTGATGGGGGGCCCGAGAATGCGTCGCATATATCACGCCTGTGGCGCCATGGAGGCCGCATTTGCGGTTGCAGTTGGGCGGGCGCCCCGCCGCGCGCACCGTGGCGACAGCTCTCTTGGGCGCCCGCCCGCCGCCGTGGACGTAGTGGACCCAGCTAGTCTCTCGGTCGGCGCGCGGCGTGTCGGCAGCCACGACGCTGGCGGCCTGAAAATTTGTACGTTTTCGGTGGCACGCGCAGCTCGGGGAAACATCGCCTGGTCCGTCGGCGGCCAGTTGGCTGTCGTCGCGCAGAAGTGCCGGCGGATGGCGCGGTCCGCGCTCAGCGCAGAGAGCGTGTCCATGAGCGTGGACTCGTCGAGGGGCAGGAGGAAGGACTTCGCGGTCGGGACCATCGCGGCCCGCGATGTCCACGGCCCCCACCCTGGGCGCGCGAGGACCTGCTGGGCGCCGCCGCAGCGCGATTTCAGAGGATCTCGGAACCAGAAATCCGGGCGCGCCAAATTTCGCGGGCCGAAAAACTCTCAGAGAGTTTCGGCCAGCTCCGAGGTTTTGGGTTTATGGGAATGTTTCACGCGGGGTGGCTAGTTCAGAGATTTTCAGAGATTCTCAGAGAAGTTCGGACGCGAGAATTTGGCGCGCCCCGGTTTCTGGTTCTGTGAATCTCTGAAAAGCGGTTCCTTAGGTTTTACCGGGTCTCCAGGCGTCCTACTGTCAGCCAGAGACGAGCGACTGGCTGGCGCTGCGCCCGATGCTTCCGGAGTTGCGAACTCGGTATTCGATTCCCTGGGGCCCGCGGGCCCCTGGGCCAGTTGCGAGGTTGCCGAGGCCCCCAGGCGGTTGCGCGCGATTGTCTCGGAAACCGGATTTGGGCATCCATGGTGGACGCCCGCGCGTACGCGCTAGGTGTCCGCGAGATTGTCCGGTGGCGGATCTTGCATGGCGCGGGGATTTTCCAAAGGCTTTCCGGGGTGTTCTCTACGGTTATTTCGGCGCGCTTCGGGAACCTTGGGGCGGCGCGGGGAAGTCGCCTGGCCGCGCGCGTGATTTTTTTCCAATGCCTTCTTGGGCATTATCGCGGTGTTGCTTGGCCGACGAGGTCACTGAGTAACGCGATGTTTGACATTTTCGTGTTCTTTCGTTGCGTTGGTTGCGTGATTGGTTTGGCGGTCCGCCTCCTTGGGGCCCACTTTGGGCCTCAAGTTTGTTTTGTTGACGTCGGGCCTTCTGGAGTGAAAGGCGCTTGGTGCTGAATTCCCTCGGTCGCGCGCGTGGCCAAATACGGCTTCGTCCGCGCCGGGGCGCTTTTCTTCCCTCGCGAAGCCGATGGCGCCCAAGGCGTGGCAGGCCCGTTCGGCGGCGCCCCCGGTGATTTGAAAAACCGAGCATGATTTTTATCCCGGTCAAATTTTGCCCCGATCCCGGCTTCATCTTACACTTGCTCGGCGGCCCTTCGGCGTGCGCCCACAGTCTGGGCTGATACAGCACCCCGCAGTTGCGGACAAGAGTGATGTCGGCGGGCGGGGGGGGGTCGCAGGGTGGGTTGCGGGCGGGCTCGTGGGTGGGTCGCGGGAAGGGTCGCGGGTGGATGGCGGGCGGGTCGCGCGGTGGGTAATTATTGGGTGGATCGCGGGTGGGTCGCGGGTGGGTCGCGCGTGGGTCTCGGGTGGGTCTCGGGTGGGTCGATGGTTGGTCGGGCGTGGCTCGCACACGGGTCGCTGTTTGGCCCATAATTCCAAACTATTCTAACCTTGATCACCAGAAAGAGTTCCGAGCACCAGGAAGGTACCAACATTGGAGGATTGTCACATGTCGGTCCCTGGTGTGCGCCCAAAGTCTGGGTTTGTGTAGCATCCCGCAGTTGCGGGTAAGAGTGAGGAGACGGGCGCAGGGTGGAACGCGGGTGGGTTGCAGTCGGGTCGCGGGGGGGGGGTCGCGGGTGGATGGCGGATGGGTCGCGGGTGGATGTCGGGTGGGTCGCGGGTGTGTCGCGGGTTGGTCGCGCGTGTGTCGCGGTTGGGTCGCGCTTGGGTTTCTAATGCTTCAATTTGTTTTAGCCCCGATCACCAAAACAAATTCGAGCACCAGAAGGGTACCAACATTTGATGAGGATTTGCACATGTCGGGCCCTGGGATGCGATTCTCGTTCGACACTTCGCTAGCGTGTCTGGCAGGCACAGTTTCGATACAGGGAGACTCGAAACATAAGAGGCGTCGGGGCTCGGTTGTGTTAGATTTTGCTGGGCCTCCGGTTCTGTTTTTTTTTTGGGGGGGGGGGCGGCTAGGGACACCCTGAAAAAGGGTACTGTAGTCCTTTTGTGTTTCCAGCTGCGTATGTTTTTTTGGGGGGGCCGTGCGCGCCCCCCGACTGGCGCGGCGAGATCTTTGTTTTTTTTTTTCCGCCCGCTTGTGTTGTTACATGTTCTCGTCCCCACGTTTTGTTTGTCAATAGCGGTTTCGCTTGCTGGTTCATTGACCTCATGTGTCTTAGCCTCCCCTACTCTTCCGGCGCCATTGCCAAAGTCTTTAAATATGTTTGTTCGCAGCGGGCCAGCCTCAGTGTTTGTTGTTAGTGGCCTCGGTGATTCGCAACAAGACTACGTCAACATATTCATGTTTTTTTGCTGGTCGGCCAGTGTTTTGATTTTTTGTTGCTCGCTCCTCTCCCCACCGGCCACCGCTGACATCTCTTTGTAATTCTCTGTGGGCCAGCCTTTGTTTTTGTTGTTCCTAGTTCTGGCGTGTCGCCCCGTGGCTACGTCAAACTTTGAATGTTCTTTGCTGGTGGGCCTGTTGTTTTTTTCGGTCATGCGGGCCTGCGTTTTACGTCGTCATGTCTGGGCCAGACCGCCGGCGGCTTGCCACCTCCGTAGGCGCGGCGCTGGGTTCGGGCCGGCTGGGGGCCTCGCAAGAGCATAGCGGGCGCGCTGCTCTTATTTCTTCGGGGCTCGGGCCCGCTTCTGTTTTTATTTTGCGTGGGCGCAGACCAGTGCCATTTTACATACTCTAACCTCTTTGTCGGTTATGATTCCAGCCTCTTATGTTCCCAGCCTCCCTGTATGTTTCTGGATGCTCGATATTATTGCTGGGATGTGGGAACATTCTGGGTGCTGGTTCGGAGTTATGCATCTTCGTGAGCTACCGTGAAGACGGGCGCGGAAGACCTGTGCTGGGGGTTCAGGGCAGCAGCATTGGCGGGATGCGGATCCAGGAGTTGACGCGCGACATGGAGTAGCAGGCCGGGAGGCACCTCCCGCACGCCAAGTCGCGCCGCTACCAAGTGGAGGCGATGGAGGACCATCCACTACGCCCACGGCCTGCGGCGTCGCCCAGGCGATGCAAGGTCGAAGGGGTTAGGAACGGTGCGCTCTTCCTGCCTGGCTTCCACCAGAAGGACAAGAAGGCCAAGAACGACTCGACCCACAAGGAGGACAAGAAGGACCAGATGCAGCTGCAACAGCTGGATAAGTTCACCAGCCTGGAGGTGCATGTGCCGAACCACCTGCAGGAATCGAATAGGCTGGCGAAGGAGCAGGCATGCGCTTTTAGCTCGGGGACCCGCAGAACTGGTTGGACAGATCTTATTGTCTCTCCCTTCTCTCGTTGCTGCCGTCGGGGCGGACACGGATAAGCAGGATGAATGCCTATCTGTGGTCGTGGTCCAGCGAAAGTCAAAGTTGGGGTCGAACCCGCTTTTGGATCTTGGGAATTATTCGGTTTGTGACCACAATTTCGACAACAAGACTGGCGTGGCCACAACAAAGGGCAAGCAGACCAGTACTGGCAAGAAGGACACAGCGGCTGGCAGGGCCTATGGAGAAGACACAGTGCGGTCGGGCATCGAGAAGAATGAGAAGACAGCAGAGGACGTCATAACGTTGGGGGGGAGGGGGAAGAGGAGGAGGAGGAATATGAGGAGGAGGATCAGGAGGAGGATGAGGAGGAGGAGGAGGAGGAGGAATCTGATGAGGAGGAGGCGGAGGAGGAGGAGGAGGAGGCGGAGGCGGAGGAGGAGGAGGAGGAGGAGGAGGAGGAGGAGGAGGAAGAGGAGGAGGAGGAGGAGGAGGAGGAGGAGGTGGAGGATGAGGAGGCGGAGGAGGGCACGGAGGACAGGGAGATGAAGCACAGTGAGGGCAGCAGTGCCCTGCGGAGGTGGCTCGAGGGCGCCGAGGACCTCCTCGGTGACGCCTGGAGAGCGGCCCGGGCCCCAGAGGTGCGGCCCCTCTCCGGGCCCGAGGAGTGCGGGCCGTGGCGGCGCTGCCCGGGGGCCTCCCCGGGGCTCCTCGTCGCCGTGGCTGCTTCGCCTCGCTTCTTGGGGGGCCGCGGGGCCCGTTTGCCGCTCATGGCGGGGCGGCGCCGCTGGGCGCTGCTGGACACATTGGCGCGGGCACTGGCTCGCGCTCTCGCCGTGCGCGCCACGCGCGGAAGGATTGCCGTCCGCATCATCAGAGCCTTTCGAGCTCCTCGGGCCGCGGCCCGTTTCGACTGCCCCTCGGCTTCTGCTCGCTCGCTCGCTCCTGCTCCTGCTCCTGCTCCTCCTCCTCCTCCTCCTCCTCCTCCTCCTCCTCCTCCTCCTCTCTCCGCCTCCTCGTCCTCTCTCCGCCTCCTCGTCCTCCTCCTCCTTCTCCTCATCTGCCTCCTCCTCCCTCCGCCTGCCCCCCTTCCCCTCCTCCCTCTCCTCCTCCCCCTCGTCCCGGGCACACGCATGGGCGATGTGTAGACGTTTCCTGGCCGCGCTGGTGTATTCCCATCATTCGTTGTCCACCTCCTCGATCACGCCCAGAAAGGACGGCGCCTGGTAGAGTAATGCCCCTGCGTTCTGGAAGCCAGCGGGCCGAATGCAAAACTTGAGACTTGCTGCAGCGTGGGCTGGGCCACCAGACGGGGGGCCCTCGCCGCCATTCTGGCCACAGGGCCCCTCGCACCCGGGCGCACCTGGTGCCAGGGCCCTTCGTGAGCCCGCGAGACGCCGGTGGTCGGGGAGGTTGCCGCGTCCGCGGGGCGCCTTGCGGATCTTCAGCCGAAAGGGGGGGGGAGTCGAACAATGCAAATTGCACAAGCCTTTACTTCGAAGGGCGGGGATTTTTTGGATCGTAACTGGGCAACGCTTCCCTGGCGCGCGGATCGCGCCAAGGGGTGGCGCTAGAAGCGCCGCTAGGGGAGTGCAGCGTCGAGAAAACTTAGTTTAGTTTATGAAGTCTTCTGTTGCTCTGAGAACTTGTTCAGCTTATGAGGTGTTGTCTTGATCCGTGGGAGGATGAGCAGTATCTTTGGGACCCTGAACAGATGGTGCAGTTCATGACTTCCTTCGTCGACAACACCTGGTGTCTCGTCATCTACGCCTGTGCCGCGTTCGTGTCAGCGCTGCTTGTCCAGTTGCTGCCAGAAACGAACGACAGGAGACCAAGCAGTTAAAGGAAGTAGCGAGATCGGGGTCGTGAGAGGGAACGGGGAGAGCTATACTGTGTTCAGAGTACATTGATCTGATGATCGTGATGCTGAATATGATGATGATGATGACGATGCTGAAGATGATGATGATGGTGATACGGCTGATGATGCTGCTGCTGCTGCTGATGATGATGATGATGATGATGATGATGATGATGATGATGGTAGTGCTGGTCGTGGTGTGGTGGTGCCAATGACAATGATGTGAATGATGATGCGAATCATGCCACTGCTGATGACGTTGATGATGATGGTAGTCTTGATGATGATGGTTGCGCTGTTCAGGATGAGGGGCACACGTAAGGATACGAAGCATGAGACTTTAGGAAAACCGAGGAGGGCGAGGACGACGACGAGGAGCCATTGGCAGACGGACGATGGGATACAGAAACACACACACATACATATATATATACATATATACACGTATGAACATCTCGCCTGTTTCCGTTAACAATGTTTTGTCTTGGAGTGTTCCCGGGTCGTCCGGTTGGTGCCGGGGGGGCATTGACGCGGTAAGAACAAATGCTGCCGGAGGGCCCGCGCGTCGAGACATATGCAGCATTCTGTGGTTCGGGCCCTTTCGCATGAGACATTGTCGCAAGTCTTCGTTCCTCGACGACCAGATTTGACATGGTCTGGACCGTTCCCCTGACTGAACCATCCTCGTAACTCTGGGCTCCCAGACGCCACCCGAGAGGCGGTCCGACCAGTGCCGTAAGATTCTCAAAGATTTTGGGTTCGGGGATACAGTGACCTGAGGTTGCTTCGTCCGTTTCGCTTGAGGCATCGTCGTTACGCTAGGCTTGAAGATGCCGCCCGCGAGGTGATCCGGTTAGCTTGGCCTGAGACGTGCAAGTCTTGGCAAAGAGATGCCGCGTGCGAGGGGGTCCAGCTAGTGTCGCATGAGACGTTCCCGCAGTTCCGAGCAACAGTTGTGAAGTGCGAAACTAAGAAAGAGTGGAGGGAGGAGGAGGAGGAGGAGTAGCAGGATGACTGCAGACGGGGACGAGGAAGGAACATGTCCGTATAGCTGTCAGCGAAGTGCTCTTGATTTCAATGCTCTCGGGGCACTTCTCGTCGCCAGTGCTGGACGCGGCTCGATCGTGCCTGGTGATGCGGGCTGGTGCTCTGCCGACGAAAGGTGTGTGACTGATGTGCGGATGTCTCGAGCGGTCTGTTTGTTTTATGGGGTGGTGGTGTGTTTCGGAGCCGTATGGTTCTCGCTGGCAATTTCGGTTGGCTTTTGGAGCTGTTTTGGGCCCCATCCAGGGCTTGCCTTGGCTGGCGGGGGGGGGGGCAGTGCACCTGAGCCCGGGTGCCCGGGTCGCCCGGGACAGCTCCGAGCGACCCCGGCAACCCCAACGGCGTTGCCGAGGAGGTGCCAGGGAGGGGTTGCCCTCAAAAGAGTTGCGTGCGCCCACATGGCCCACAGAGAGTCATATTTGGAACCTCGGGCTCCGATATGCCCTGGCTTGATGTGCTCTGGCGCGTTTCGCATGAGACGTCCTCACAACTCTGGATTCCAAGATGTGGTTCGCGAGGTACTTTGGCACGTTTTACCTGAGACATCCTCCGTACCCTGGGCTACTGCGAGATGCCCTGGATTGAGGTGATCTGGCCTGTTTCGTTTGAGACGACTCACATCGGTTCCAAGATGTGTTTCGCGAGGTACTTTGGCTCGTTTTGCCTGAGGCATCCTCGGAATACATGGCTCCGACCGTATGGCCTGAGACGTCCTCGCAACTCAGAGTTGATATGCGGTTCGCGAGGTGCTCAAGCCCATATCGTTTGAGGCAATTCAGGGTTGAGATGCCCTGAATTGAGATCTTCAGTCCCGTTTCACCTGAGACATCATCATTACGTTGTTTGTTTTAGACATCCTTGGACCCTTAGGCTTCGAGATGCCCTGAATTGGGCCACGTTGGCCCGTTCCGCTCAAGACGTTCTCACAACGTTGGGTTCCAAGTTGTAGTTCGCGAAGTAGCTTAACAGTTTTCGCCTGAGACATCCTCGGAATCCCTGGCTCTGATCGTTTGGCCTGAGACGCCTTCGCACCTCTGGGTTGAAGATGCGGTTCGCGAGGTGCTCAGGCCCGTTTCGCTTGAGACATCTTCGGAACCCCGGGCTTCGAGGTGCTTTGACTTGAGGTTCTCTCGCCCGCTGGACTTGAGGCATTCTCGCCGTTCACATGTCTGGGTTCCAAGATGTGATTCGGGAGGTACTCAGGCCCGCTTCGCCAGAGACATCCTCCGTATCCTGGGCTACTGCGAGATCGAGATGCCCTGAATTGAGGTGCTCTGGCCTGTTTCGCTGGAGACGATCTCGCATGTGTGGGTTCCAAGACGTGGCCCGCGATGTGCTCAGGCCCGTTTCGCCTGAGAAATCCTCGGAATCCCTTGCTCCCAGTTGCCCTGACTTGAGGTGACCCGGGTATGTGCGTCCAGTTTGAAGGCGACATTGACGAAGTTGTTGTTTGGGTTGCCCCCGGTGCCAGGGCAAGTTGGGTACCGATAGAAAGTGACAGCTCCAACGCGACGCCGTCACGCACGCACACACACATATATGTATATTTGTATATATACATATATATATATATATATATATATTCAAATGTATACATACGTGTACGCATATGGAGATAGACAGAGCGTGAGGGAGGGAGAGAGTGAGGGAACTATAGAGAGACAGAGAAACACACACATAGACAGAGAGAGAGATACATATAGATATACATACATAGAGAGACAGAGAGAGAGAGAGAGACAGAGAAAAAGAGACAGAAGGAGATAACGGCACACGTGTGTATATGCATCGAAGACGTCTACGGCGAATCACCGCCGCCCCCTGCCTTTTGGGAACGCCCATGCGGCCAAACGTTTGGCCGGAGTCTGGCTCATGTATTAGACTGGCTTTCCCGATCCGTTGTGGGACCCCTTGGGCAACGCTGCGGAGAGGAAGAAGAAAAGGGAGGACAGGGAGGAGGTGGAGGAGGAGGACAAGGAGGGGGCCATGAACCCTTTGATTGGTGTTCCGAAACGGGGATGGCGCCCACATGCGGGCTGCGCTCATAAGACCTTAGGTGGAGATCCATGTGGGGTCACGAAGCGTGTGGAGAGGTGTGCCGAACCGGGGATAGCGCCCACATGCGGGCTGCGCCAATGGGGCCTTCGGCGGAGCTCTTTGTGGGGCCACGAAACGTGAATGGGTGTGCCGAAACGTGGATGGCGCCTAAATGCGAACTGCGCCACTGGGACCTTGCATGGAGCCCCCTGTGAGGCCACAAAACGTGTGAAGGGTGTGCCGAGACAGGGGGTAGCCCCCACATGCAGTCTGCGGCAGTGGGACCTTGTGCAGAGCCCCCTTGTGGGTCCGCGAAACGTGTGGAGAGGTGTGCCGAGACTGGGGTAACGCCAACATGCGGGCTGCGCCAGGGGACCTTAGACGGAGCTCCCTGTGGGGCCACGAACCGTTTGAAGGGTGTGCCGAAACGGTAGTGACGCCCCCCTCTGGGTTGCGCAAGTGGCGCCTTAGATGGAACTCCCAGTGGGGCCACGAATCGTGTGAGGGGTGTGCCAAAACGGGGGTTTCGCCCACATGCGGTCTGCGCCAATGGCACATTCGGCGTAGTTCCCTGTTGGGCCACGAAGCGTGTGAGCGCTGCGACGAAACGGGGGTGACGCCCACATGCGGGCTGCGCCCTTGGGATCCTGGGTGGAGCTCCCTGTAGGGCCACGACACGTGTGAGGGTTGTGCTGAAGCTGACGGCGATGATGGTGATGATGACGGCGATGATCATGACGCTGGTGGCGACGAAGACGGCCATAATGATGATATCGATGCTGGTGATGCGAGGAGGAGGGAGTGGGCAGCGGAAGGAAGGAAGGACGCGGGACGCTGCCTCTTCAAACTGAGGATCCGACACCACAGGATGGTTGGGAACCAGGAGGAGGTCGGTTTGAGGCCCTCTTGAGGCCTCCTGTGGGTTTTTTGTGAGTTTCTTGGGGGCCTCCGAGGGCCCTCGTAAGGGCCTGTCTGTGGCCCGTTGACTGCCTCCTGGGGTCTCTTGGGGGCATCTTTGGGGTCTCCTTGGTGTCTCTGGGTCCCTCTATAGGGGACCTCTTGGCACTGGGGCCCGGCTGTGGCCTCCTCATGGGGCTCCTCTTGTAGCCGTGATCTTTTTGCAGGGCGAATGCAGGCACGGTCCCGTGTAATCAACAGTGCAGGGTTTTGGTTCAGACAATGCATGCGACGAAAGTTGGATGGAAGCATTGATAATGGTAGCATTCATGATGGAAGGGTCTTGATATGGAAGCAATGCATGCGACGAAATAACCTCACTACTGGAAGGGTCCAAACTGCAAAGAGGGCCACGGCAGCAACAAGACGGGCCACCTTCTAATTTCAGGTAAATGCCGATTTGCTAAGCCTTGGTATTTTCCTGACAACTACGGCCAAGGCCCACCGGCAACCCCAGCACCAGCTGCGCCAGCAGCAAACCCCTCTAAACCATGTGCGCGGCCACGTGCACCACAACCTGCACGTCGAAATCCTGGCGGCGCCGATCCAAGAGCAGACTCCAGCAGCTACGACATGACCCGGGGAGGTCATCGGGATCGCCGTGGTGACGCACGGGGAAGCGGCGCTGGCAGCTCCGCCGATCTCCGCCGATCACCGAATATCAGAAATGTGGCAACCCCCATATGTTTTTGGACCCTGACCCCGCCCATCTGCGTGAGGGGTGCCAATTTTAACCCACCCCAGCAATTCAGACAACACGCTCACTGCGTGGTAAAAATGTTCGTTTTGGGCCTCCCCCCTCGCGCGGTCCATCAACAAGGAACAGCAAGCAGCAAGAAGCAGAACTGTCAACAAGGAACAGTAAGCAGAAAGAAGCAGAACTGTAACAGTGGAAACTGGAAGCTGCAACAGCCTGGTGGCCCCACAAGGGGGCCGGCGGATACAGATTCATATACATCCAGATGCTATATAAATATATGAATTGGTGGTGTGCTATATGTGTATGGAAATCGAAAACCTGGTTCGCATACTCGATTTGCCATGTCATGTGTTTTGTTCGCTTCGTTGCTCATGGACATGACATTTGTAACTCGTGATGCATCTGTACACGCTGAATGTGGAGTCGGTGGGTCCTGTTTGCCATGCCTTATTCTTCAGACCCCCATGTAACCGCCGTGGGGAGTGACTGATTGTTGGCCTCCCAGAGCCCCCTCTTGGGGGGCTCTTGCGATACCGTTTCCGACGAGTTGGTGATCGCGAAGGGGCTGGGAGAGACAGGGGACGATATTTGCATTTAGTAACACTTGTACATGCCCATGGTCTTCTTATGTCCATGACTACACATGTATATTAGCACATACATCAGCGTACATAATATGTTTACGAGAGATATGGTAATGTATACATGTAGATGTAGGTTACAGTTTTATGTACATATGTGTATAGAGAGGGAGGGAGAGAGAGAGAGAGAGAGAAACAAACACAACAATTTCAGAGAGATGCACCAACACATATTCATATATATATATGTATATATATAGATATATAGAGAGAGCTAGACGCGCACATATAGCGAGATAATCAAAGAGAGGGAGGGAGAGAGAGAGAGAGAGAGAGATCTAGATAACGTGAAAACAACACAAATGAGAGAGCGAGCGAGACAGAGAGAGAGAGAGAGAGGAAGGAGGAGTGAGAGAGAGAGAGAGAGACACCACACAAGCACACGAGTCAGAACAGGAGAGGGACACACACACAAACGAGAACACGACATTGAGGGATTTGTAGAGGCAGGGCGACGGAGAAGTTGAGGTGACCAGGCTGTTTCCGAGGACGGCGACGGGGAACGCGATTCGCATTCATGGTCCCACCGTCTTCGTTTTCCTCTTCGGCTGGCTGTTCTCCGTTTCCGCCTAGTCGTCATTATCAACATCATTTCCCCCCCTTTGCAAGCCCATACCTGATGACCATGGCTCGTCAAGTTACGGGGCAGCCAAAAACCAGCGGGCCCACGTTCTTCTCCCCAGTTTGCTGTTTTTCGCCCCGTTTCCATCCTCCTCATACTGACCCCCTCCTCCATCAACCCCTCCTCCCCCCTTCTCCATCTTCTGTCCTCCGCGTGCCTGTCTTCCCGTGTACCGTCATTGAAGAGCACGCGCGGACGTTACCGCAATGGACACGGGCTCCCGAACACATCCCCGTGGTAGGTGCGGAGGTGCGTGCGTTCAGAAACGATGCGTTGTGACGAGGGTGGCGCAGTGGCGGCACCCCTCCTGGCGAGCTCACTGGCGTGCTCCCCAGTGAGCTGCTCAACAACTGGACGCCCGAGTCGCTCACTGTCTTCATGCCTCCGTACGCGAGCGACTGCTGCGACGACGACGGCCCCGAGACAGGCATCCATGTGGGGCAGACGCTCCCCATTCCCTCGCCCTCTCTCCCGGAGGAGAAGTCAAGGGCCACCCGCGGGGGTGCGACGATATTCCCGCCTCGCGCGGCGCGGCCGGGGGGCAGTGCGGGTAGCCTTCTCCAAGATGGCGGCGGCAGGTGGCGAGGGCGCGAGGATGACCCGCGCGTCGCGCATCGCGGGGCGCGATGCGCGACGGTCGGTGACCTGGGAAACGGAGACCACCCTCACCGAGAGCCCATCGAGTGCCTGCGTGTGTGCGATCCCTGGTGGGCTGTGGCCCGCCCGAGCGTCAACCAGCACCAGGGCGTGCCACCGCCCAGGGTTGAGATCCCCCGCCCCCGGTGGTTTCTCGATGGCGGTGGTCTCTGCCTCTTCCTGTTCTGACCCTCCTCCTCCCCCCTCCACCCTTCCCCCCCCCCCTCCTCCCCCCCCCCTCTCGTACCCCTCCTCCCTCGCATCCGCCCCCCCTTCCTCTCGCCCACCATGGCGCACACTGAATTGTGGTGCCTGCGGTGCTTTGCCACAGAGCGGTCGGCGGGATCGCGAGCTCGCTGCAACCAAGTCCGGGTGGGTCGTGGGAGCATCGACGCTGCCAGGGCACAGTGCAGAAGTGGGCGGAGGAGAAGGAAGGTCGAGGAGCTGGGGAGGAGGAGTGCAACGATGATGATAATGACGAGGCCGAGAACGAGGAGAAGTCAGGCAAGATGCAGGATGCAGGATGGACGCGGAGGGAGGAAGGAGGTGGCAGAGGACGATCATAATATTGATCATGAGGAGGAGGGAGGGAGAGGGACCGGGGAGAGGGCGATGCGGAATGTCACTATCCCTGCAGCTATGGTTGCCCCGAGGGCTCCACTATCTACACTGTCGTATGACGAGCCCATCCCCTGGAGAGGAGGATCGACCAGTCGATGGGGTCTTGCGTCCGATCCCAGAGGCCTCCAGAGGTTTCTACCGCCTGCTTTGTAGAGGGCAGGGACTCGACGGAGCTTTTCCTGCTGCCGTCCTCTCCGAGGTCTTTTCTGCCCTGCCGCTTCCCCCCCCTCCGCTGCCTTGGAGCGTCAGCCTTGTTTGTCTGGCTCTTCCTTCCTCGCTTACGCTGTCTATTGTTTCCGAGCATTTTCTTCGGGTGGAGGGCAAAGGGTGACATTTGGAATGCCGCTTCGATGGATTTCCGAGACTTGAATCTGCAAAAGGAGAATTTCAAGACGGATTGATTCCGAGGCGCAAAAGCCCATCTGGATTTCACCCCGAGCTCTCCACCCGAAGAACATGCTCAGGGTTTGGCCACTTGGCCTCCCCTGCCACTGCCGGGTGCTGGTCGAGGTGCGCGCCAGGATGCCGTCGGATGCCAGTGGGGGAGCCGGCAGCGCGGGGAGGCCTCGCGGGCCCCGAGCGGGGAGCGCGCACGGACACCCGCGGAGTCGGGAGGCGTTCGGAGGCAAGGCCTCAACGAGTGGGCGACGCAACAGAGCAACGGGCCCAACGGCACCGACACCGGCGCGCAAGCCCCCCGCGCAAGGTCGCGCGTGAGCGCCCCCGTCTCCAGTGCAGCGTGCCGCGCCGGCGGCCCGCGTGCGCCACCGCGGCAGGTCGCTGTGTCATCTCGCGTGGGAGCCGAGTGGCGGCAATTACCGATCGTAGCAAGTGTTCTCTTTGGGGGCCATCTTGGCTTACCCTGCGTTTTTGTTACTCCAGATTTCGTAATACAGGGATGGGGGGTCTCATTTCGGGGGGGGGTCTCTTCCAGGCTATCTTGGAGGGCCTGGGGGGTCTGGGGACGATGTTTTGGAGGGTTCTCCCAGGGGGGAGGTCTGAAATGGCTTGTCTTGGAGGGTCCAGACCCCCTCCCTTTTATTACGAAATCTGGAGTACCTCGTGCTGTCCGCTCGGGTGCTTCTGGCCTCTATTGGGGTCTCCCGAGTCCCAGCTGAGGGCCTCTATGAGTCCACGTGACTGTGAGACGGGTGCGTCGAGTTGCAGCCCATGTGGCACGACGTGCGTGAGTTTTGCGTCGAAGTGAGGCTCCGAGGAGCCGTCTCGGGGGGGCAGCTGACGGCTTTGGGGGGCCCATGGGTCACGAAGTACGTGAGGGGTGCGCGAGGCTCCCTTGAGCCGTCTTGAGAAACACTTGGGCTCCTCCGGAGATCCACGCTGCACGAAGTGCGTGAGGGGCGTGCCGAACTAAGGTTCCCAAGTGGGTCGGAGTACGAACCTATTGTACTCCTAACGGCGCCCTGAAGCATTCAGGCCTGACCCACTAGTACGTTTCCGTGCTTCAGGAACCCCGCAGCACAAACCACTTGTACTGTGAAGGCCGCCTTCCTGCCGGTGCCCAGGACCTCCTCCGGGACCCCAGTGTCCCCTCCCAGGACCTCGGGCTGGGGCCGCGGCGGGGGCCGGGGCCGGGGCCGCAGATACGGCCACCGCTGGGGCCACGGCCACGGCTGGGGCTACGGTCAGGGCAGGGGCCGGGCCAGGCCCGAACCCGGGCCGGCACCACCCCACAGGGGGAACCCCTGCCTGTCCCCTGAGTCGACAGGTTGGACCCGCCGCCCAGCTGCTCTCCAGCCCTAGTGTTGAAAACCTGATGGAAAATTGATGACCCACCCAGACCCCAACCCCCGGATCCCCACTGCCATTCATTCGCCGTTGTTTTTTTTGTGATCTGTATTTAAATCAACTTTCAAAAACGCAGACCGAACGATGCGATTGCTATGCACGCATACGTATGTTTGCCAGCACGCGCACACACATGTTTATACGTACATGTATACTTATATATATATATATGTGTATATATGCATATAAATACATACATATTTATATAGCATGTCCATATACTCATTTCTGTGTTCCTATATCTATATATATATATATATGTGTGTGTATGTCGGTATGTTTCAACAGGATCGCATTGCAAGGCTGGTGCGGCGTTTTCTCGTCACCAGTGATGGTGTGCATGGAATGGTCCCTCAGCACGGTCCCGATCCACTTCAGGTCGCAGGGCGTGTCAGGTGCAGCACTTTCGCGACCCAGGGAGGGTGCGCATGTGGTGGTCCATGAGCGCGGTCTCCATCCCCGCCAGGGTCACAGGACGTGGCAAGCGTAGCCTGACGCCAAGAGGGGGTGCGCAGGAATCTGCCCCTCAACGCGGAACGCCACGGCGGTGGCGGGAACGTTCCCGGAGGTCTGGTTCTTTTCGCTGGGAATAATTTTGCTTTTATTTTTCTTGCACAGGGCGCCTGGAGCTCCGACCGCATGTTTTCCGCGTCGCACCCCCCCCTTTCCCCCGCCTCTCTCCTACCGCTCCCACAGCGTTCTCCTGGCGGTCCAGTGGAACCACCGCCCAGTGCCCCGTCCGCCCCGACCATATCATTCCGCGTCGCACCGCGCCCACCTCCCCGCCCCCCTCCTGCCGCTCCCCAGCGATCCCCAACGGCTCAGTTGAACCTCCACCCAGTGCCCCCTCCGCCCCGACCATTTCAGTCTGCGTGGCACCGCGCCCCCCCCCTTCTGCCGCTCCCTTCCTACCCCTCCCACGCGTTCCCCAGCAGCCCAGTGGAACTTCTGCCCAGTGCCCCTTCGCCCCGACCATTTTATTATGCGTCGCACCGCGCCCCCCCTCCCCTCCCCAAGTGCGCCCTCCGCCCCGACCGTTTTATGCCGTATCGCGCCGCGCCCTCCCTTTCCCCCCCCCCAGCTTCCCCCAGTGGCCCAGTGGAACCTCCCCGCCAAGTGTCCCCTCCGCCCCGACCATGTCATTCCGCATCGCACCGCGCCCCCCCCATCCCCGCCCCCCATCCCTCGTTCCCCCAGCGTCCCCCAGTGGAGCCTCGGCCAAGTGCCCCCTCCGCACCGACCACTTTATTCAGCGTCGCACCGCGCACCCCCTTCTCCACGTCCCCTCCTACCCATCCCCAGCGTTTCCCAGCGGCCCAATGAAATTTGTCGCGCGGCGCGCCCCCATCCCCGCCCCCCTCGCCGTTCCCCCCAGCGTTCCCCAGCGGCCCACTCGAACCTCCGTCCAGTGCCCCTTCCGCACCGATAGTTTCATGCCGCGTCGCACTGCGCCCTCCGCCTCCCCGCCCCCCCGCTCTTCCACCCCGCCCCAGCGTTCCACCGCACCTTTCCCCCCATTCCCCGCCCCCCCCCCCCACCCCAGCGTTCGCCAGCGGCCCAGTGGCACTTCCGCCCAGTGCCCCCCCCCCACCCCGACCATGTTATTCCGCGTCGCATCGCGTCCTCCCCCTCCACCCCCCGCCCCTCCCCAGCGCCCCGCCGCTCTCCCGCCGCCTTCCCCTCCGCCCCAGTGCTCCCCAGCGACCCAGCGAAATCTCCGCCCAGTGGCGCCTCCATGTCATTCCGCGTCGCACCGCTTCCACCCTCCTCGCCCCCCATGCAACCCTTCTCTGCCCAGCGTTCTCCAGCGGCCCCCCCGCCCCAACCCCCCATCCCCCTTCTCCAGCGTTCCCCAGCGGCCCAGTCGACCCCCCTCCCGCCCCGTGCCCCCTCCGCCTCCGTTTCGGACTCCCGGGGAGTTCATGGGATCCTCTGTAGACGTCTTGAGTGTTTGTTGAAGGCCTCCTGGGGGCATGTTGGAAGTCCTTCAGGTCATCTCATGGGGGGGGGCATTGGTGCCTCTTCGAGCTCGCCCTGTCAAGCCCATCTCGCGGCCCTCGTTGGGCAATCCTTCTCCGATCTTTCGTGCCCTAGATCCCTTCCCCGTCCTCCTCCTACACCTCCTCATTCTCCCCCTCCCTTCGGTGCAACAACCATGGCACGCGTGCCATTTGTTGTCCCCCGTAGTTCGGCACACCCCTTCTTCATTTCGGGCCCCATGGACCTCAAGGGAGCCTTACCCTGTCACCCCCCTCACGCATTCCGTGTCTCATGGGCCTCAGGAGGCCCTCGGGTGACGCCTCCGACGATTCAAGGGAGTTTCATTCCAGCGTACCTCCCACGCACAGTATGCCCCGTGACCCCTCAGCGGTATATCAAGACCGTCTGGCCCCCTAGGGGGCGCCAATATGGCCAACGACAACTTGCAACGACTGGCACCCCTGTGAGCACGTTCTGCACGATGAGGAGGCGGAGGAGGAGGAGGAGGAGGAGGAGGATGAGGAGAAGGAAGAGGAACAGGAGAAAGAGGAGGAGGTGGAGGAGGATGAGGAGGAAGAGGAGGAGGAGGAGGAGGATGTGGAGGAGACGGAGGAGAAGGAGGAGGAGGAGGACGAGGAGGAGGATGAAAAGGACGACGGCGACGAACCCTTGCTGAGGCTACATCTGGAACGCCCACATACTGCAAAAACTGCGCTCGAGATTTCCATATGGGCCCGCCGCGACTCCTGGTCTGTGGGCTCGAGGCTTTTGCGGGTCCTCGCCGTGCTGGGCTTCGAATGTTCGGCGGCGAGCCCGGGGGGGAATGCAGACAGGGCGGGCCTTTTCAGGGGGTTCGGAATGCCTTGGGTCTTCTGAGCAGTGTGCTGAGCCCCCGAAGGCAGCGGCGGCTTCTCAGAAGGCTGGAGGGCAAAAGCCCCGCCGCCGTCGGAGAAGGCCTGCCCCCATTCGCTCCCCCCCCCTCCTCCTCGCGGTCGCGCCGCCGAAGATGATGAACTTGGCATCGCTCGGAGGTGCGCATTGTGTTTTGGTTGGCCTTGGGCCCCTCTTGGGGCCCTCCTGGGGCTCTTTGGGCCCTCCTGGGGCTCTTTGGGCCCTCCTGGGGCTCTTTGGGCCCCCTTGAGGGCCTTGGAGGGCCCATCTTTGGGGCTAGCGATCCAAGGAGACGGTGCCTTCTAGGAGTGTCAATGAGAGACGGGGCAAGGCTAGCAGGGGAGAGAGGGAGAGCATGGGTGATCGCGGGATCACAGATGTGCTCATTCTCGCTTCTCTGTTTCGTGTTCCCTGGGAGGGCTGGAGCTCCTCCCAGCAACGGGAGAGTTCGACGATAGGGTCGAACGGCGTGTCTCACACCCCGAGAGTCCTGTGAGCAAATTTCCGCCGACAGAACGGGAACCCATACGTCTCATATATATATATATATATACATATATATATGTATATATCTATACATATATATATATATATCACCCAGTGGAAGCGGCGAGAAATGACAAGAGGAGGGACCGGAGAGAGGGACAGGGGAGGCATGGGGGGGGGTTGGTGAGGAGCGTTCGGACGAGTGGGGGGGAAGTGGAGGGGAGGGGAATGAAGGGAGGAGAGGGGGAGTTGGAAGATAGGGAAAGGAAGAGGGTCTTTTGGTATCCACACGCTTGAGCCTTTCCCGCGCCCCAGGCTACGGCTCCTTCGCCGAGGGTGTGCCCGTTGCAAAGGGCTGCCTGCGAGAGACCAGCGCATCGCATGAGGCTGGCACGCAGACCTGTGCATGATTCTCGTAGATTCGGAGGAGGGCCATTCGAGACAACGGCTGCCCTCCTTGATGTGTTGATTGCCCTGTGGGCCTCGCCGAGGCTTCTGGTCGCCACGGCTGGATCCGCCTCGAGAAACGGGTCAGGGTGACCCCAGGAGGGGTCCTGGGACCGATTCTGAAAGGATTCGGGCCAGACGGGCGAGCGGGCGTTGTCTCAACTGGCCCTTCTCCGAGAGTTGTGTGTGGCTATCCTCGGACGGGGCCAGAACGCAGAGACATCCGTACCAGAGCGTTCCAGAGCACTCTCCGAGCGTTCCGGAACGCTCTGAGAAGGCCGCGGCGCCCGAGACATCCTCCAGAGCCGCCGGATCTCAGAGCTTCTCGATTTGTCCTTACCCAATTATATCCTTGTCCTGGCCTCGTCTTATATCCGAGGATGGTGTTCATACATATCTACCGCCTCCTGGGGTCCTGAGAGGCCAATTTCGATGGCGGCGGATGTGTGTCGAAGACGCCTACGGCGAGCCATCGCCGCCCCCTGCCTTTTAGGAAGCGCCAGCATGGCCGAGCGATGTGACCAGAGCTCGGCCAAGCTATAGGACTATGGGTTCCCCTAGCCGTTGTGGAAACCCTTCGGGGAGGAGAAAGGAAGAGGAGGAGGGGGACAACATGTGGTGGGAAGAGGAGGAGGAGGAGGAGAACCGGTATCAACCAAAGACGCAGCAACGGTGTTGTAGTACATCCTTCCTCCAAGTTCCAGACAACCGTCTGCGAATCTTCAATCGTGCCACAATTTCTTGGACATTGACGTCGCGGTGAAAGGTGGCTGTTGCGTCCTGACAGTCCTAAGCCGTGCCAGGACCTCGTTCCTGGGACGTCAACACCGCCGTCAAAGAGCAGGAGTCCTGGGATTGCAGCTTCACGACGCGCTGAGGCGAGGGCCACATTTTGAGAAGGAACCGCCCTCTGTCCTTCAAGCTGTCGTTCAATTTTTTCAGACGAAAGTGCGAGGCGCTGAGGCGGGAGCCACATTGTGAAAGCTCAACGCTCTCCATCCTTGAAGCTGCTGCTAACTTGGAAAACGAATGCATGCGGCGCTAAACATTGAGAATCACATTTTGAACATCACCGCCCTCCATCTTTAAATGGAGCTTTTGCACAGTCCAAGCTTACGGATAAAACATGGTGAGGAAGTCTCAGGCGAAACACCAATCCCGCCTGACCGACACGACTGGGAGCGCGACAGGGAGGAGTTGCTTATAAGGAACAAGATGGAGGAGGAGGAGGAGGAGGAGTTGCAGAAGGCAGGAGGAGGAGGAGGAGGAGGAGGCGGAGGCGGAGGCAGAGGAGGCGGAGGAGGAGGAGGCGGAGGAGGAGGAGGCGGAGGAGGAGGAGGTGGAGGAGAAGGAGGAGGAGGAGGAGCAGGACGAGGAAAGGGAGGAGGCGGAGGCGGAGGCGGAGGCGGAGGAGGAGGAGGAGGAGGAGGAGGAGGAGGAAGAGAATGAGGAAATGCATGCGTCGGCGGCCCCTTGGGAGCCTCTAGGGGCACTCTTGGGGTCCGCTGGGAGTTTCCTGGGGGGCCTCTTGGATGCCCTTTTGGGGCTTCCTGTGGGGGCCTTTAGAGGCTCCGAGGCTCTTAGGTAGGTAGTCTTAGGGCATGCCTGGCCCGTCGGGAGCCGTCGGAAGCAGTTCGGGGGGTGCCCCTGGGCAGACTGAGGCCATGTTGGGGTGCTTCAGGGCCAGCTCGGAATTCTCTTGGGGCCCTCTTGGAACCGTCCCGGGTGCCTCTTGGGTTGTCTCTGGGATGCTCGGACTGTCTTGGGCCATTGCGGAGGACTCTTGGACTGTCTTGGCGCCATCCTGGGAGCATCTTGGGCCGTCTTGCGTCGTCGGATGCCCGACAATATGCGAACGCCACACACCCTTGAAACACCGAAGGACTTCTTCGTATTTTGGCATCCTCGGGCTCTCCTGGAGGTTCTCTTGGAGGCCTCTTGGGTCGCCTTTGGGGCATCTCGGGGGCTTTTTGGGGGGCCTCTTGGGGTTGTCTGGGGCCACCTGTGCCGTCTTGGGCGCGTCGGGCGCCGTCGTGGAGACACCTTGGGGCACATCCTGTGTCCTCTTGGGATCAGAGCGCGCGAGCGGATCGCTTGTGCCGCGCTGCGACGCCCTTATGTATGATCTCTGGTACGCGCCTGGGCGAATTAAGCATCACAAGATCATGTACGGTAGGTTTGCGTCGTGTCGACCAGCGGCGACCCCAGCGCGGGCGTTCAAGGTTGAACGCCGCCGGCGGCCCAGAATCGGTCGATGTTGAACGATTGGACGTTGCGGCAGCGGCCGATCGTTCAAGGTTGAACGATCCCTGCGGTGTCAAAAACCAACGCTGGGGTCGGCACGACACGGACCTGCCGTACGCGCCTGGGCGAATTAAGCATCACCAGATCATGTACTGAACTCTCAGCGCTCAGGCGCACCCGCCGGGCTCTCGTAGGGCCGTCCTCTGGTACGATCGGCCGGCGCCTCGCCTCGCCTTGGGGCCATGTGGGCCCTTGGGGTCACCTTGGAGACCTCTTGGAGGCCATCCCAGGCCAGCCACAACTGGGGGAGCTGTGGTCCTTACCCCCCTGGGGGACCCATCGATTTCGACACCCCTCTCGAGAGATCGTCGATACGATGGGTTCCCCCAGGGGGTAAGGACCACAGCTCCCCCAGTTATGGCTGGTCGGTATCCTGGGCCCTCGGGGCCGTCTTGAAGGCGTCAGGCGTGCCCTGCCGCCCGCCTCTTGGGCGGCCTCGTGTGGGCCCGTCTCCGGGTGCCCGGCGCGATCGGCTGGGACCGCCGGCACGCGGGGTTGCCTGCGCTGTTGCATTGGCCCGCCCTGGATGTTGATGGTCCAGCTCTCGCTGGACGTCTGCATCGGGAGATTGACGAACGAGCAACACACACACACCAATACCCATAGAGAGGTCGTTGGGAGGAGGACTGGCTATAGGTATGGGTGCGGGTTGTGGGACCCTGGGGAACGCTCCCGTGCGAGCGGGGACCCCCATTCGACAACACGCACCCATAGCCCTCTCCGACCCCTCTATGGGAATGGGTGTGTGTTGTTGGTTCGTCAGAGATTGCATCAAATTTCAGGCTGGGTCTCGTCATCATGGCCCCGTCAGGCCTACCCGAGTTTGCCGAACCCGACAAAGGCATCCTTTTGGCGGCGAGCGAGGGGGGAAGTGAGAAGGAGAAGGCCCTCTCAGAAGGCGGCGGGAGTTCACAGAAGCCCTCGCGCCTTTGTGGAAGGCTTAGAAAACTTCTCAGAAGGCCGGGGGACTTCCGAGCCTTCTGAGAAGGCTTTTCCTTGTCACTTCCCCCCGGGCTCGCCGCCGAATTTTGCACGTCGTGCACCCCTGTGGCAAGACCACAGGGGGCGGCGGATCGAAAACGCCCACGGGGAACCACGGCCGACCCAGGCGTTTGGAAACGACCATGTGGCCAAACGTTGGGCCAAAGTCAGGCCAAGCTATGGGACTAGGTGTTCTTCCTAGCCGTGGTGGAACCTCTTGGTGGAACATTTGGGAGAGGAAGGGAAAGGAGGATGAGAGAGGGGAGAAGGAGGACGAGGAGGAGGAGGAGGAGGAGGTTGGCTTCGTTGCCTAACCCCCCACAGTGCACACACAGGAACTGGGTGACGAAGAAGAGGAGACCTCTTGCGGCCCTCCGAAGGCCTCCTGGGCGCTTCTGGGAGCCCCTGGCGGGGCTCTGAGGGGCCTTTGGAGGCCTCCCGGGGCCCCTTTGGGGCCTCGAAGGGGCCTCGAAGGGACCTTGGCCTTCGGAGGTCCTCTTGGGGCCCTCAGCCCCCCCTGTTCAGTTCTGAGTGTTTCTTTGGGCGCCGTCTTGGAGGTCTATGGGGCCGTCTTGGAGGCCTCTTGGGCCGTCTTGGGTTCCTCTTGGGCCATCTTGCCGGCCTCGTGGGTGCCTCTTGGGCCTTCTTGGGGCGATTTTCGGGGCCTTTGGCGCCGCCTTGGAGCTTCGGGATCCCGACAAGGGGAGAGCGCTAATATCATTGAAACATTCGTCGAATTATTAATGATTTTGGCATCCTAGTGGTCCTCTCGGAACCCTCTTGGAGCGTATTGGGGCCTTCTTGGGCCGTCTGGAGGACATCTTGGGCCGTCTTTGGCCGTCGTGGACGCTTCTTGGAACCGTCTTATAAGCCATCTTGGCTGTCTCGGAGGCATCTTGGAGGCCTCCTTGGTCATCTTGGGGGGAGTCTTTGCTCACAGGTCGTCTTGCGGCTCTCTGGGTGGCCGGCGCAATCGACCCAGCCCCCCCCCCCCGTGGATAGAGGGCGGACAGAACCCCCACCCTGACACGTCGATTAATAAAGTGACTTGTCCGTTTTCGGTTCGCGAGAGGGCGCCGTGGCCGTCATTTTTCAGGTTTGCGCCCGCCAGGTTTGGGCCCGAGGTCGTTGTCACTAAACCACGTTTTGCTAAAGTGGGTTCTGTCCACTCCCGAGTGGACGTTTTGCGGAAGTTCAGCACGCTCTGCACCCCCGTGGCAAGCACGCAGGGGGCGGCGGGTTCGACGGGCCTTCGTCCCCTTCCGCCGCCGCGCCCCGGGTTGCAGGTCGGAGGCCTCTCGGGGTCCGAAGGGCCAGTTTCGGGCGCTCGCGGCTCCGCACAAGTCGACTGGAAGCGCGGAAGAACCGCAGGCCCGGCCGGGCCCCTCAATATTCAATCCCCAGCTCGGATGACCGAGGACTCTACAAGGGGCCTGAAGGCACTACAGCTCGTGCCTCGCGGCGCGGTGGCGGATCCAATGGCAGCCTCGCAGGTCAGAGCAGCTGGCGGGTGCAGAGCGCCAAGGATTCCATGCCGCGCGGCCTCTCCGGCACACGTTTCAGACCTATTGCGCTGAGCTCAGTGCGGGCGGGGCGTCTTTCCATACTGGGTGTAACTCCTGGGAGGTCACATGCACCATCGGGGCTGGTGTATCCGTGGTCGAGATTGGCCTAGTCTGGCAGAAACCGTCTTCAAATTCTGCTCAAACCAGCCTGGTCCCAAGCTTAATCCGGCGGGGTCTGGCTTACTTGCCCCTTACACAGGCTGAAGCCCTTACTGGTTCTTGCGAAGACCTCCCAGGAGTTGCCTCCTACCCTTAGTCAGGCTTTCTGCCGTGCAGAGTCGCACGTTTGAAAGTGGATGTGTTCAGCTTCGCCAAGACAGGTGGCTCACTCACCACATTGCAAGATGCAGCGAGTTGCGTGCATAAAGAGGGGCCGTTGCAACTCAGCACGTATTGCGTGTCACGCATAGCCTGAAGGTTGGGTTGCCCAGGCCATGTTTTGTCAGAAGCGACCTTTGTCTGTCTGGAGGGAACTGGTCCCTACGACGGTCGAGACATGTACTCACGCTCCTCTCGGAAATCGTCGTGGCCAATCTGCAGGGCGAGCACGAGCATTCGCTGCCGCCGCATCCGTTCTCCTATCCTCCCTTTCATTACCCTTTATCCTCTCGTTTCCTGTTTGCCCCCTCCCATCCCCCCCCCCTCCCGCCCTCCCCCTCTTCCCCTCCCCCTCCCCGTCTCCCTGTCATTGAATGCAGGTACATTCGTATATGCGTATAGGCCAGCGTGAGACATCTGTGTGCACACATGGCTTTCCATGCTCCTACTCTGCTCCCACTCCGCCCCCCTAATGTCCTCCCGATCCCGGGGGATCCAGCTTCCCTCTTGAAGCAACACATCGATTGACAACGTTTACGGGTTTCTCGCCGACATGTTTGCAGCGTCGTTGACGCTGCGCGGGGCGGGAGTGGGACGGGGCGCACAGGGCGCGCTCGCGGAGGAGAACTGCCCCTCTCGCCTCGGCCTTGAGCCCTGACCGTGCCGAAGCCTGAGCTCCCGCGTGGCCGCGGCGGAGACTCAACTGCCCTCCCGAACCTCCCTGGGACACGAGCCCTCAGGACCCCTCCGCTGGGACCCCTCTCCCTCTCCAGAACCCTCCCCCCCCGGGGACCCCCTCAGGGATCCCCGCGCCACCAAACGGGGAAGGGATCAGAGGGAGGGGATCTCCAGGGTCAGAGGGAGGGGATCTCCCGTCGGCTCGGTTACGATCTGGGTCGCCCCAGGTGGCCGCAGGGAAACGGGGGGAGGACCAGCTTCGAACGGACAAGCGCCTCCTGGGACCACCCTGGCACGAGCATCCCAGGAGCCCCCCCCCTCGCGCACGACACAACGACACGACCAGCGGATCAGGACGCGGAGGAGGGGGAGCGGGAGGACGATAAGGATTAGGAGGAGGAGGAGGAGGTGGAGGAGAAGGTGGAGGAGGAGCAGGAGAACGAGGAGGACGAGGAAGACCAGGAGGAGGAGGAGGAGCAGGAGGAGGAGAAGGAGGAGGCGGAGGAGGAGGAGGAGGGGGAGGCGGAGGAGGCGGAGGCGGAGGAGGAGGAGGAGGAGGAGGAGGAGGAGGAGGAGGAGGAGGAGGAGGAGGAGGAGGAGGAGGAGGAGGAGGAGGAGAGCGCGGCGGAGCAGTGCGCGCAAATGCCGAAGGCCTGCTTTCTCGCGATCCCCCCCCCCCCTCGCTGCCCCCAGGTGCGGGGAGAAGCGCCGGGAGGAGCCTGCGCAGGGGGGCGCTCGGGCCTCTCGGTGCCCTTTCTAGCGTGGCGCCAGGGGGGGGGCGGCTCGTCCTCGAAGAGGCCCCCGCGGCTGCCTGCGACCGCCCGCCCGCCCCCCGTCCCCTCCATTCCGCCTCCCCGTCCCTCCCCTTCCCCTTCCCCTTCCCGCTTTCATCCCTCCCTCCCTCCATCCATCCATGCCTCCATCTCCTTTCTTGCTTGCCCCTCCCTCCTTTTCCGCCTCCATGCATCCTCATCCTTCTTCCTCTTCCGTCCCCTCCCCTCCCCTGCTCCATCCTTTTCCGCCTCCCTCTTTCTATGACTCCCGCCACCCACTGACCTCTCCCTGGAGGGAAGAGGCGGGGTGGGTAGGGAGGTGGCGAATGCGGAGGTGGAGAGGGAGGAGGAGGAGAATCATGGTGGATCGAGGGATGGCAGAGGATGTTGGAGGGAGCATGAGCTTTTCTCTCAAGGGCAGAAGGAGCGCCGCTCGAAGTCGGCGATCCCTGTAACCTTCAGCCTCTGTAGCTGGAGGCCCCTCTGTGACTCTGCTGGTGTTGCTGGAGGGCCTCCAATGCTCAATGTCATGAAACTGCTTGCAGACATGAGGGTGACGCCCCGGCAACAGTCTCTTGCGTCCAGAGTATCCTTTGCCACTCTTTGGTGGACCCTTGTACACACCTCCGAAAACAAAAGTGGAGTGGCTTCCACACCGCGCACAGAATACGAGGAGCCCATCTGCGCAGGCGCCTGCCGACAGGCCAAGGGAAGGATGGACCTATTTGAGACGGTCGCGAAACTCAACTGATCACGGCGTGCATTTCTCATTCGCCCTGCGCCGAACACCCGCATAATGGCTGACCGGTTGGCACCGCTCGGACGTGGGCATTTTTCTCGGCGAGGACCATCGAGGATCATCTTGGATCATCGAGCAACACAATACCCACGAAATCGAGCAATGCAGTGCACTGGGAATGGACGTCCGAGCAATGACGAGAACGTGACACAGGCCGCGCACCTCCGAGGCACATGCCCAGCGTGCTGCCACTCGTGGGCGGCGCGACGCAGGGGCCTTGCAAGCCTTGTTCAGGGCTCCTGGCCCCTCTGTGGTGGCCTGGACATGGCGTACCCGTCGGCCTTGGATTGTCGGCGTTTCTGGATGCCCAGATCCCAATCTCATTTCGTCGCCTTCCGACTCCAAGAGTCGAGCGGTGTTCCTTCTTGCTTCCTCTTCAGGGGGCGGGCGGAAACCCAAGCTACTTCCAACGCCTTCCTTCTTCATGGTTATGTCTAGTTCTTCCGACCGGTGGGTAAGCATCTTTGGCGACAGCTTCAGAATGCAGGCGACCTTATCAATTTGTTATCCGTAAGGGCTTCGCCCCCATGCCGCTGGCCCCTCTCGCTTAGAATGGGACTTGCCAGAGCTGTGGTGGGATGTCTGGACGCTGACGTGAAGCCGTGAAGGAATGTCGGGACTTCACAAACTGCCCAATATTTCACAATTGCGAATATTGCATAATTTTCGAGGGTGTGTGGCTTCGGGGGCGCGAATATCGCGTACTTTACGAGGGTGTATGGGTTCGGGGGCGCAACTATTGAGTACTTCACGAGGTTGTAGAGCCTCGGGGACGCGAGCGTTCAGTGATTTACCAGTGTGTATGGCCTCGAGGGCGCAAACATTATAATTTACAAAGGTTTATGGCCTCGGGGACGCGAATCTGGCGTAACTTGCAAACAGTCTTATGGCGTCGGGGACGCAAGCTTTGCTTCATTTACAAAGGTTTCTGGCCTCGGGGACGCGAATATGGTGCAATGTACTAGGGATTATGAACTCGGGGACGCGAATATAAAGTATTTTTACGTGTCCCACGCCCCCCCAGGAATTCAGACAACGCGATCCGGGCGTAGTAAAAAAGCTGGTTTGGGGCTCCCAGTAAGGAAGCAAGAAGCAGGACAATAACAGTGGAAACTAGAAACTGCAACTGGAACAGGGAGCTGTAATCCTCTCCCTCGCAGCCTGGTGGCCCCGCAAGGGGGCCAGCGGATTTGCACTCCGACCACGACGACGCATCAGACGACGGGTGCACCTGGATGATCGGCCTTGCAGACATGCCGCGATGATTATGAGAAGCTCGAGGGCCTGCCTATCTTCTGGCAACATGTTGTCAGCCTGCTCGTGTGTTTTGATTGTAGTGACCTCCGAGAGGAACCTGCTGCTGGTATTGTCTAGAGCGGTCCCGAACAATACATGCCTGCATACATACAACGATGGGACCGCCTGGCAGTTAATGGCCTGCTACAGGCATCCAACATTGGTTTGCAGGCGACGAAAGCTACCGATTCGATTCACATATCAAATCTGCAGGAATACTGAAAATCCGAGGTGCTCACGTGCTTGGGGGGCTTGCTGCCACGGACCAATAACCACCTCCGTGATTTCTATTTGCATGTCGCTTGTTCTGGATTACCCACATACAGCCCATGCAGCTCTACCCAGAGCCTTATACCCGACTATGCTTAGGTGCCATCGGAGCCTGTGAGGGGCCCCACTTTAGATCGGCAGCTCATTCCAACCGCAGGCTCCTCATCCACTCGTCTGACTTGAAGCCCCTAGCAGAAGTGGGGTAGGAGGCATCAGAGTCAGAGGAATGGTGAGGCAAATCACATAACTGGTAAAAGATGCGTTTACTTGATATTCTAGCACACGCATTTTTTCTGGCAGGCCCGGCGGCAGGAACTCACTTATCGAAGCGACGGCCTCCTCGGACTGACAGTGAAAGAGGCGGTGCGGGATGGTGTCGCCTCTGCGGCCGCACAACGCACAGATATCCGCAGTGAAATGACCTGCTTAGGAGGCCCCCCTACGGGTCCAATATCCTTGACACACTATGGTGGTCAGTTCCTGCTCGCCCGAAGCATTCGATATCTTCCCAACAACGTCGAAGCTGAGCTTTGGGGCTTCCTGGATGCGACGGGGATTGGTGGCATCTTTGATCTCCCGCATCCTCGTGCGACCATCTAGGAGGCGATGGCAATGCTTCACAGGCTTGGGCGAGACTTCTGCCAGTGAAATAGCTGGCCCAGGTGCGTGCGCAGCCCGAACGGACCCTCAAACTCCATGCCGATCCTGTCCATGGCGCGTGCCGCCGCCGTGACTGGACTTCGAACTGGCTTGTACGACCTGGCCTTGGATCTCTACTTTCCCAGACTTCTTGACTCCAGACGCCCAACGAAACGCAGGCGTGCTACAGTGCCCATAGAAGCTACCAGTACCTCGCCAGCCAAACGAACCACGAGGGCCAGAGCCCACCTGTTGTCCTGGCGTCTCGGCGCCATGGCCGAAAGGCCAATATTGCGCTTCCAGGCGCTCGTTAGAAACCCCCTCGGACGCTGATGCGGAAGCACCAGCTCGCAGAAGGCCACGCGTTGCAATCTTGCGGGTTCCGTGCCCCGTCACGTTCACAAGTTTTTCGGCTTGGCAGCCGGGCTCCAACCATTTTCAGTGCGATTCGCTTGTTTTGACGGTCCAGTGGTAGTAGATGATTTCCTGCTCGAGAATATCCGATCCGAGATTGGCAGTCGATTGTTACGTTTCGCCAGCCCATGCCCTTAGCGCGTACATTACGTTCCTGCCCAGCGCCGACAAGGACGCGACGAGGGGGCCCTTGTCAATGGACAGAGTGGCGTCCAGTCCAGTTGATCCCTGATCAAGCCTGCGAGCTGCTTGGAGTCCTTCAACCGCCACCGGCGAAGTGCCGCGCTCGCGCCATGTGCCGTGAGCGAGAAGACACTTGGTAGAAGTCGAGCGGCAAAGCTGCGTTGTGTGAGGTGGCCAAAAAGAGAAACTTGGAGCCAACGCAACCTGAGATAGCACTCGCGAAGGAACATCCAGCAACAATGCCCCAGAGGGCGTAAAGCATCATGGACAGCCGCTGGTGTGCCCCGCAGTATGGAACGACATGAGGGTGTGGTTAGAGCTGATGAGGGATGCCCCCAGAGAAGGCCAGCTGCAGCTGCCCTTGGCGACTGGGAGGCTTCTTTGCGCAGGCTCTGCCTCCACGCGACGTCTACTGGATAATGTAGTCAACAAACGGGCTTTTTTTATGCATGCGCGCCATTCAACCCACGTGCGCCGAATAGGTGCCATGCTATTAGGACAAGGGCTTTCGCCGTCTGACAGTGACCCGAAATGCCTGGGCGACAACCGAACCAAGAGTAGTCGAATGTTTCCTCTCCCTGAGCCTTCCAGCAAATCGATGGGCTTCGACGTGTGCCCCTGTTGTCTCGTTGCACTTGGAGGCCTTCGAGAGGGGCGCCATGCGGGCCCGATGGCGCTGAGGTGGCAACTGTCTCAGACGCTCGAGGATGCCAACGACGTAAATGAGGCCTTGAATGCCTTCGTTTGTCATGCGCGATAGGTGCCAACATGGGAATACACCTAATTCACTTGACTGCGGACTTTCCCGGATCCGCATGGCTGGTGTCACGAACGGCAGCAACAGAAGGCGAGGGCGCAGCAGGCTGAACAGCGCGCGCGCAGTTATGAGGCCCGCGCCTCCCGCATTGTTGTTTTTGCGCGAGTGACCATCCATCGCAGCCCGCGCACTGCTGTGCCCGCGCACTGCTGGGCCTCGACAGCTCCAGGTTTCCATGTGACCTGCTCATTGCAAAACCTGCGCGCTCGCCCTGTCGCTCTGTCAAGGGTTGTGATGGCCCAATATCAGGAGGGAAAAAACACACAGACACAATTCAGTGTTGATTCCCCAGAGAATATGGGAAACTATGGGAAGTGGGGGGGAAGACAAAAACACATAACATATGGGACAATATTGAGAGTCCTTTTATTTGTGTGTATTTATTTGTGTGTCCCAGTTCCCCTTCGCAATATTGTGAGTCTTCCTTTTTTTCTTGCTGGCGCCTGAGATGGCCCCCCTGAGGTGGCCCGCCATCCACCCCAGTTCTTGTTCCGATTCCCAAGCGGCGCAACTGCGAGCTTCAGAGAAGAGCCCCGACGTATTGCGCAGATGCAAATGCAATTGATTGGCTGTCTCACGAACCGCGATTTTCCCGGCATTTGCATGCCCCTGGAGGAGGCTGGTTTAGGAGCTGACAGACCTGCTGCAAAGTATGTTGGTCAGGATCCCTGGCTTTGTCTGAACTTGCTGCCGCTTGCCCGCCATGCCTACGACCGCTCAGCAACGTCTCGAGCATGCGAGTCCGCGCGGCCAGCCAAGCTGTCCCCGGGGCCGCTGCTGCGAAACACGCGTGCGCTGGCGCACGTTGCGCCGGCGGTGTGAGCTGAGGCTTGGGCAGGAGGCCTCGAGCCCCAGGCTCGCTGAGCTCAGGCCCCGTCATACCTGCGAGCTTGTTCTTCTCGCACTGCCTTCACTTCCTGTGCAGCACCTCGTGAAACCTGCTCATTCACCTCTGCGCGCCTTCTCCTGACCCCCCCCCTCCCCCCTGCAACAGAAAGAACGCGTCCTCACTACTCCAAGGGGGCGCGCTCCAGCCAACCTGTGAGACACAGTCCTTGCTATCGTCTGGGATCCCGCAGGCGAACGGCGTCGCAGTCTCGAACTACAAGGTTTGAACTTCGACGCGCACTGACTGCGAGCCCCGTGCGCGCGGGCGTTGTGCCGGAGGGGCCGATGAAGCTAGGTGTCCAGAACGTCTTCCAGCCATGGTTCAAGGCCCAAGCAGACGCGGCCCCGAGGGCCCCTTCCAGGAGACCGACTCCCCTCGTAGCAAACAACAGGCACATTTGATTATTCGAGCGCGCCGCGTCGCCTGATCTCCTGCTGAAATGTGCCCAAAGAAGACCCATTGCATAATTCCGCCAACAAGGCATCTTCCCCACTCCAGATGTCCCGACTAACCTGGTTGTGGTTGTACATCATAGTCGTTGCCAGACTATTCAGATTCAACGCCATCCAAGTCGCTCGGGGCACCCGTGATAACCTCGGCCTCTTACTGCTGTTGACTTGATTTCCGCGCGCGAGGACCGTGGCGTGGGTGGCAGTCGCCGCGGGCTACCCATGAGACCTTTCGTCGCCCGCAATTGCAGTGCCACCGGGACATGTGGAGTCATCGCGGTGATCGGGGCCACCCTCAGGAGCCGGATCCGCTCCGCTTTTCTTGCCTGCTCGTGTCCAGCCACCTGTGGCTCGTGCAAAGGCTCCTCTGTCTCGCGGTGTGTTGGTGCTGAGCTGGTGATGCTGCCGGTAGATCTGCACCGCGTGGCCGAAGATCGGGGGCCTTGAGACGGGGGTCAACGCAACATGGGGGTCAGTCAGTGCGCCGGATCTTGCAGGATCCTGCAGGGCCAGGGTCGCATTGATCTGGGCTTGGGTGCAGGATCCTGCAGGATCTTTCGCATTGACCCGGGTTTGGGTGCAGGATCTTGCAGGATTCTGCAAGACCTGGCTGACCCGGGTCTGGATTGACGAGGGTCAGAAGATCCACGAGAAGACTTCTTGAGCCTGTGCCTGGTGAGGTTTGCGCTTGGGCTTGGCCTCCGATGCCTTGGTCTTGGCCTTCGCCGCATTTGGCCGCGCCTTGGCGTCGGCCTCCTGGATGGGGACTACCTCGCGTGCATTCGGGCCTCGCGATGGATCTCCGGCACGAAGCTCGCAAGTTTAGCAAGCTGTCGAATTGCAACATCTTGCTATGTGCCTGTAACAGCTGTGGCACCATCCTGCGCCCCTCCATCGGTGCTCATTTCTTCGGCCGCGGTCTGGAACTACCCAGTAAGTGTAACTGATGCCGTCGCCAGCGATTGAATACCCCATCCCGGATTTCGGCGGCTTTTTACTCAATTGCATGATGCCAATTTTTACGGGGGCTGGCTTGATTTCGCTGCCCATGACGCGTCTGTTTGCTGACCCTGCTCGAGCTTGATTTGCTGCTCCGCCTCGACAAGCTTGACGCTGAACTTGTCACGATCAGCTCGCACCTGCTTGCTAATGTCTCCATCTGGCTGGTGTGCTGTTCCATGTCCGCCAGCTGCTCGCTGATATTGTACCTGTCCTCTAACTCGAAGTGCAGCGCGTTGTGCCCGATGTCGCTGGGGAAGGTTTCGGCGGCTTTCTCTTTGAGATCGGCCAGCGACCGCGCCGCAGCCAGAATACAGTCAACCCGCGGAGTAAGGAAGAGCACCTTGTCCTAAGTAACCCTTGCATCCTTGCCGCCTTCGGCCCATCCCTGGCAACTTTGGCTGGCCAGTCCCTTAGGGTACCCTTGGGGCGGACTTTCCAAGGCCCTTGCATCCTTATCGTGCATCCTTACTCCGCGGTTTGACTGTACTCTGTTGATGTCCCCGGGCAAAGCGCTTGACATTGAAATAGTTGTGGCAATGTACTTCTCGAGTGTGTCGATCTGCTGCTGCGGTTTATCGTCATTCGAGGGCGGAGTGTCTCCATGGGGTCCGTCATCTTCCTGAGGCTGAGGCTGGTGCAGCTGCGATCCAGACCCGCTTCCGTAGCGATCCTGGCAGTCTTTGAAGAACCTTCTATGGCCATGCAGCTGGCTCAACCGCTTAGCACCTGAACCCGCTCCTTGCGCGGTCGATTGATTATTGTTTTGTCCTCGCTTAAGTGGCCACCCGCTGCGCGGGTAAAGCTGATTCTCGCAATGGTTACACTTGCGTATGCCATTTCTCATGAATACCAAGCTGCGATGCCCACAGCTGCTGCAATCCACCCAGCGCCTGGCACTGCCGCCGAGCATGGCGCTGCAAATCGCTGATCGCCGACACGTCGTGGTGTGGGATCCTCTACCTGCGGGCAGCGGGCAAAGGACGCGCGGGGACAGATCCGAGGCTGCCCGCCTTGGGCCTGCGACTCGGCAGCAGTCGGGCACGAAGCTGCAGGGCAGCGGTCTCGCACTTACGCAGACCCGGCTACGGTCGGATGGAGCAGGAGGACCAGAGGATGATGGCACACAGGAGATAGGAGGGGAATGGGCGAGGGGAGGGACGAGGGGAGTGGGTGGGAGGTAAATCGAGACCGTGGCTCGTGGGATGCTGCTGTGGGGTGGGGGGGGGTAGTGGAGGGTGCGAGGAGGGGCCGGTAGGGGATTGACGTGGTGGCAGGGGACCCACCCGACGGGGAAGATCGTCGCAGCGGGGAAGTAGGCGAGGTGCGCAACGGTAGAGCCGAAGGCTCGTGGGGCGGTAAAGTAGGCAAGGATGTTCGAAAACTGATTCCGTGAGCTTGCCAGCGGAACTGCGCGTCAGTCTTTACCCCCACAGTTCCACTCGATTTCGGTCCTGATTGCATGTGCAATCGCGTGTTGCTGCCCGTAATAGAGGACGAGGGACTGACGAACTGAAGGAGGATGATAATCTCGAGGGGGTGGCGCGGGATTGGCAGTACGCGAGGGAGGCAGAAGAGGAGCACACCGTGGGCCTGTCTGCGTTTGCCGCATCGTTCAACGAGGCGTGCGAAAGAAGAGGGCTGACGGGGGCAGGGAGGGGGTGGGACACGAGGAGTGCGTTGAGAAGGATGTGGTGGGGGAGGAAGTAGAGATGCAGGAGGAGGGGGAGGGGAAGGAGGAGGAGGATAAACACAATTTCCCCAAGCCCTCCTCGTCGGCTGCCCCCCCCCGGCGCCTGCGCGGCAGGAGAACCCCGGCGCGCCCCGCCAGGGCCTCAGGCTGAGGAGCACCGCCGCCCTGCTCTGGGGCAGAAGGTGCAAGATTATGTTCGTCATCGTCCTTGTGTTCCTCGTCGTTTTTTCCTCGATCCCTTCGGGTTCAATCTCTTCCTCGTCCTCCCAAACCCACACGCTCGCCGTCCAGCTCGTCGTCCTCCACCTGCCTACCTCCCCCTCCTGCTCCTTCCCCCTCCTCACTCCTCCCTCTCCCTCTCTCTCTTCTGTGTCCGAGTCCTTCTTCATCGTTTTCGCCCTCCCCCATTCCCCCTCCGTTTTCCCTTGGTCCTTCGCCCATCCCATGCAGAGAAATCAAGTTGTTGCTGTTTGTGCTCGCCCCCCTCCGCTCCTTAAATCATGTTTTGCGCAGTGCGGAGGATAGCGGGAGGGAGCGGGGTTGGGGGGAGGGGTAGAGGGAGGAGCAGGACGATTAGGGCCTTCATTTGAGGCGATGTCCTCCCAGAGTCTCGGCTTGAGTGGTGGCGGGCGCTGCAAATAATCTCCATCCCGCCTTCTCCCCATGTCTCCCGTCCTCTTCCCCTCTGCTCCATCTCCGACCTCGTCTCCGTTCTCTACCTCCTGCCTTCGAACCTGTCCCTCCTCGTCCCCCTCCCCCCTCCGCCCTCTTCGTCCTGCCGCCCCCCTTCCCTCCTGCTTGCTCTCCTCCTCCAGCTCCTCCTTCAGCCCCCTCCTCGTGATCTCGCCCCGGCATGTGCCCGGGGCTCGATGCGCGCTGTTCGAGCGCGTTCGAACAGCGCGTGGGGTACCGTCCGAGGCCATGTTGGCGCAGCCCGTTTGCCCTCCCGTGTCTCCTATGTTTCTCTCGTGCGGTTCCCCCGCAGATGCCACCGTGGAGGCTGTCGACAGAGACGCGGTGGGTCCCGTACCCGCTGTAAACCGAATGCTGAACGTTCGTCTCTTTGGACTCCCAGAGCGCTTCTCATTGCAAGAATCGAGTGGCCATATCCTATACTTTCTTTTCAGAGGTGCGGGCGGGTATCCAATATATGTTCTCCGCGCTCCGACTGACTGCATGTTCCTCATCACCCACGTCTTCCGAATGACTGCAGGGACCGTAGCATCGGCCACCTTGGGGTCATCTTGAGACCTCCGAAATCCATCGATGGGAGCAGGACAAGGCACCCGTGCCGCCGCCCTTCGCCCGTGTTTTCCTTTGTTGTGCGCCCTCCTCGGAGGCTCTCCGCCGCCACCGTTGGATTCGCTTCGGAATTCTTGTCGGGGCTACGGCGGCGGCATTGGATGAGGAACGTCTTCCTGGGACCCAGACCCTGGCGCATTCCTTATTGTTTCAAGGCGAATAATTGGGTTGCCCGCGTTTGGCCACCCATCGGTCGTGAGACCCTGGGTTTTTTATCGAAGGTACCCTTATAACCCCCACCGTATCTGGAGGGCCCCGTCTGGACCCCAGGGGAGGAGGGGGCAAGGGTTTCACGCACGGAACGATTGGTGTTTCTCGTGAGAGTTGGTCCGCTAAGCCACCTCCATTACGGCTGGTGGACTTGCTGGCTGCTCGTTTTTGTCAAGCGCCTCCTTTGCGTTGCGGCTTGCTCCGGCAACGCGAACCCCCCCGCTGCGATGGCAGCTAGCGGCGCGCAAGGATCGACTACCTCGGCGTCAACGCCAGGGTCATGGGGGGCGGGGCTCAAGCTAGGTCTGCCCGAGCTGTTGCCAATGCTGCTGCCTGTTAGGGTGTAGCGGTCAACATTTCTCACAGGCGACTTGTCGTTCCCAGTCGCCGAGTTCCAATGCAAAGTTGGGCCGCTCAGAAAAGGACGGGACTTCGGGGACACACCCCGGGGGGGCTCTTCGGACCCTAATTTCGTCTGTCCGTTAGATATCCAGGACTTGGGCCCTAACATGTTGGTCCATTCTCGGCGTCACCCCCCCATACTAGTAGTATGTGTGCGTCGCCCCCCCCCCAGGGGCGACGCGTGCGCCGCGAAGTCTTGTCGTATAAGCTCCGTGGCGGGCGCTTTTTGGTTTTGCCGCTCGGGAATCGGTATGCTACAAGATCGTTTTACACTTTGTCCGGCTCGGACGCACGCAGCCAAGGAGGGCACATCGTACTAGTATGTCAGTATGTCCTTCTGCGCCCCACATTCGAGTCCAGGAGGGCTTACTCGAAGCCAGGGGGGCGTCTAAGGAGCCACACCTGCCTCCTCAGATCAAACCCCCCGCCTTCTGAGCCGCCCCCCTCGCACCAACCCCTGTCTTCGAGGCGGAGATTTATCCGTAGCCATCGCCTGGGAAGCCGATCCTCATGGACCTCGGGAGGCGGTGGAGCTGGATAGACCTGTGCCCCAGTGGCGCCCCAAGAGATCCATGTCCGCCGCCGCCGCCGCCTGAGGCCCCCAGGCAATGCTTCCCCAGGCAGTCTCCACCGCCCCCCTGATCGGGTGACGAAATCTGCACAGAACCGCTGCCCCCTGGCCGGGCCCTCCCGGGGCGCAGGAGCCGTGCATGCGCCCTCCTGGCGCCAGGCCAGGAGGGCGCGGTGCGCACGCCGCTAGCCGGGTCCAGGCTGGGCCCTGCGGGGGAGCCGTGGCTGTGTGCAGATGTGGTCGCCCGGCTCGGGCCCCCAACTCGTCGCTTCCCCAGGCCTGGGGGGACTGCTAGGGGGCCACAAGCGAGCCCTACCCCTACCCCCCACGATTTCTGAGGGGGAGGGTGGGGTTCACTTCATTCGGGAGGTCGCGTGTGAAGTGAACCCCACCCTCCCCCTCAGAAATCGTGGGGGGTAGGGGTAGGGCTCGCTTGTGGCCCCCTCACTGCGCAGATCCCCGCCTGGCACCCCGGCGCGTGCCGCCAGGGCGTGCGGGGGCATGGCGGGCGCTCCAGGAGCGGAGAGGGGGGGCCAGGTGTGGTGGCTCTTCATGCACGTGCACGGGGGCGGCCCGCCGATCTGCCGCGAGGCCTCGGGCCCGGCCGCGCGCGGGGGCCTGGAGTCCGGGGTGGATGCTGCTGCCGTTGATGCTTGTGATGCTGCTGCCTCCGCCGCTGCCGCTGCTGCTGCTGGTGGTGGTGGTGATGATGCTGCTGCTGCTGATGATGGTGGTGATGATGATGGCGATGATGGCGATGATGGTAGGGCTAATGCTGATGCTGCTGCTGCTGCTGCTGCTGATGATGATGATGATGATGGTGGAGGTGATGGTGATGCGGAGGATGGCGATGATGCTGCGGATGATGATGTTGCTTCTGGTGCGGATTGTGATGATGACGATGATGATGATGATGATGATGATGATGATGCTGATGAATATGATGATGCTGCTATAGGTGATGATGATTAGGATGATGATCATGATGATGATAGTAATGATTCTGATGATGATGACGACGATGGTGATGATGATAATGCTGCTGATGATGATGATTCGGTTGACGATGACGGCGATTGCAATGACTGTGACGATGAAGAACACGATGCTGATGATGGTGATGCTGATGATCGTGATGATGGTAAGGATGCAGCCGATATTCATGATGGTGATGATGAGGATGATGCTGATTGTGGTTGTGGTGGTGTTGTTGATGGTGACGGTGATGTTGCATGTGACAATCATGATAAAGATGTTGATGAAGATGGTGATGATTATGAGGTTGATAATGATGATGATCTTGATCATTATTATGATGATGTTGTTGCTGATGTTGATGATGCGAGGATGAGGATACGGATGCTGGTGATATTGCTGATCATGCCGAGGGTGATGGTGATCTTGATGCTGCGGACGAGGATGATGGAGCTCATGCTGATAGTGTTGCTGATGATCGTTATGATGATGATGATGATGATGATGATGATGATGATGATGATGATGATGATGATGTCAATGACGATGACGACTCCGCTGACGATGATGATGATGGTGACCATTATAATAATGATCCTGCTGATGACGATGATACGGATGATGATGCTGATGTTGCTGATGCTACTAATGATGAGGACGATGAAACGAATTAGGATGACAACTGTGATGATGAGGAGGCGGAGGCGGAGGAGGAGGACGGCGATAAGAACAATGAGGGCGATGACGATGGTGTTGATGATGAGGGCGTTGCCGATGACGATGAGTGTGACGATGGCTGGTGGTGATGAGGATGAGCATGATGAATATGATGATGCTCATGTTGACGATTCGGATGAGGATTTGATGATGATGCTGATGCTGCGGGCATTGAGGATGATGATGCTGACGATGAGGATGCTAATGATGATGAGGATGATGATGATGATGCGGATGATGATGGTGATACTCTTCATGATGATGATGGTGATGCTGAAGCTGGTGCAGATGCAGATGCTGCTGATGATGATCATGCTGGTGCTGATGATGATGAGGATGATGATGATGCTGCTGCTGAAGATGATGATGATGATGATGATGCTGATGACAATGATGATTACAACGTCGATAGTAATAATGATGGCGATGCTGATGATGCTGATGATGATGCTGGTGATGATACTGATTCTGATGATACAGATGGCGATAACGAGGCGGCTGCTGCTGATGATGATGCTGATGATTATGCTGATGATGATGCTGATGCTGATGCTGATGCTGCTGCTGCTGATGATGATGATGATGATGATGATGAGGAGGAGGAGGAGGAGGAGGAGGAGGAGGAGGGGGAGGACGTTTTTTAGGGGGAGATTCGAGAGCCGCGGCATGGGATGGAGTCGGGGGAGGGCAAGTTGCAGAAGGGGACCGATCTTCGGTCCCGGAGGATCGACGTGCTCGGACCCCGTCCAGCTCCTCGCTTGCCTTCGGACGCCCTTGGATCCGCCCAGGGCCCCTCAGGGGGGAGAGCAGGCAGCATGCGAGTTGAGCTGCTTAACTAATGAATTCATTTACTCATTCGGAGCGCGCCAGCGCGAAAACAACGCTCCAATATTTCAAATCTATCATTAGGGTGCTATATTACTCATTTTGAACTCTGCTCTCTCCTCCTTCTGTCTTGCGCAGGTCAGGCTTTGACCATACCGTGGAGACCCATGCCAAGGATCACCCTGTTGGCCTCCTGGGTGCCCTGGGTTTCTGTAGTTTCGATGGTTGTGCGATGAAGGGCGCGACGCTCCCACGCCCAAAATCCATGGACGCCCTGGGGTCTCAGGGTTGGGTTTGTTGTGGAATGTTTTTTGTGGACTGGTCTCCACTGTAGTCGCCATGGGGGGAACGGGTCCAATGGGGATCGTGTCCTGAGAGTTTCAGTGTTTTCAGGCTCTCGAGGCACTCCACGGGCCCCGCGACTGTCAGAGGCCTTTGAGGCTCCGAGGCCCTCTTTGAGGCCTCGAGGCCTCGAGGCCTATTTTGAGGCCTCGGAGCCTCAAAATTTGAGGCCTTCAGTATTTTGAGGCTCCAAGTCCCTCTTTTTTTCCCCTCGCTGCAGACCCGCGACCCGGGCGACGAGGAGGCAGGATCCAGGATCGGGCTGTCCAGTGGCGAGCAGGCGAGGGACACCAGGGCACGAGCAGGAGCCCTGGCAGGATCGTTGGGGGAGGGCGGGCTGGCGGGCCCGGTCCTGCGCACCTGGTTCCCGCCGCGCCCCCCAGGAGTTGGACGTCTACTCCGCGCCGCACGTGCTCGAGACGGAGCCGCCGCGGCAAGATTTTCCTCCTGCCTCCTCCTCGGGGTCGCTTGCGCGTTTCTCACCCCCCCACGCCGCGCGGCCGGCGTTTTAGCAAGTTCGTGTCGGGCCCTCTGCCTCGTCGCTGGGCGGAGGATGGGGAGGGGGAGGAGGAGGAGGAGGAGGGAGAGGGGGAGCAGGACCAGGACCAGGAGGAAGAGGAGGAGGAGGAGGAATAGGAGGAATAGGAGGAGGAGGAGAAGGAGGAGGAGGAGGAATAGGAGGAGGAGGAGGCGGAGGAGGAGCAGGAGGAGGAGGATGAGGAGGAGGAGGGAAGGGTGATGACCGAAGGAGAAGAACGGCACAACCAAAAACTTTTCGGAGCTCCGCGCGGACTTTTTGGGGATCTGCGCTGGAGCCAGCGCGGTCCCAGGAGCGCCGACCTCCGACGGTCTAGGTCGATTGCCATGTGTGATCCCCCTGGGCGAGGAGGATGAGAAGCAGCAGGAAGGGGGGGGACGGGAGAGGCGCGAGGAACGTAATCGGAAGGAGGAGGAGAAGGAGGCGGAGGTGGAGGTGGAGGAGGAGGAGGAGGACCAGTGCAAACCCAAGAGTCATCAGCGATGTTGGCGCAAACCCTCCCTCTTAGCCTCCAAGCTCCCTCTTCATATAGGCCCCTACAACGGTTCATTTCCACTGAGGGAGCTGCCTCGTTGGAAAACAACCGTTTGAAGGCCCTGACGCATGCCAAACTATTATTCCTGGGATTTCAACGCCTCGGATCAACCTGGTTTTTGCGTTTTGACGATCCTGAATCGTTCCGGAACGCCATTCTTGTGACCCCAAGACAGCGAATCAACGTAATCGTTGACCTTTCTATTCATGAGTCTCTTTTTAGATTCCATTTCTGGTACATTGACCATGGGACCCCGTGAAATTCACAACGAATGTGCGCGGCGCTAAGGCGAGAGCCAGATTTTGGAAAGGAGCCACCCTCAATCCGTGCACCACCCGCCGTCAGTCCGTGAAAGCCAGGCAAATATTCAAAACAATTGTGCGCGGCGCCAAGGAAAGAGTCAAATTTTGAAAGCTCACCAAATCCGTGAGATTCTGGCAAATGTTCAGATCAAATCTGCGCGGCGCTAAGGCGAGAGCCACATTTTGAACAACACCCGCTCTCAATCCGCGAAGACCTTGCCAACTTTTATAAAAACGAATGAGCGCGGCGCTAAGGCGAGAATCACAGTTCGAACACCCGTCCTCAATCCGTGAAGTTCTTTTTACGGAAACCTAACTCGTTGGGTGCTGGCCCGAAATAGCCAGTGAACGCACTCTCTCGGAGACGGACGGGGATCAGGAGGAGCGAGGGCTCTCAGAGGAGGGGGGCTCGGTGCTCCAGACCTTTGGTCTCGCTGCGGCGTTAGATTTCGCAGCCTCCCTCTCCCTCTTTTTCACCTCGCCAGTCGTCTCCTCCTCGCAGGGTGTTTTTCTTTTGAGGAGTCGTTCCCTTTTCATAGGGGCTCTTGTTATTCCTTGTTCCAGGCAGGGGTCGCCTGTGTACCGGTAGCCACGGCAAGGTGGCACCTCGTGGCCATGGTTTGGTTCGCCAGAGATTCTGGTAGCCACGGCAGGGTTCGCCTTTTAATTCTGGTCAGAGGAGGCGCAGCCTCCGGGATCTTTCCTGCCGGCTGGATCGCAGCAGCGAGGCTTCGACAGGGAGTCGCTATCCTTTCCTTCAGGAGCGGGACCGCCGGTTCAGGCACCTCGTAGCCATGGCTTGGTTCGCCAGATTCTGGTAGCCACGCCAGGGTTCGCCTTGTAATTCTGGTCAAAGGAGGTGTAGCCTTCGGGATCTCTTCTGCTGACACTCGGCGGAGCGTAGTTACGGCGACGGTCTCGCCTCTGACGCTGCCTGCAGCACTGGCGCTGGTGCTTCTGGCCCTCGGAGTCACAGCAGGATTCGCTCGCTGTTCTGGTGGCCACGGCCAGATTCACCAAGAAATTCTGGTCAGGGAGAGACACCAGCACGGAGCAGACCGCAAGTCCGTAGCCGTGTCGGCCCAGGTGGCCCAGGTGGTAAAAAACGGTGCTTCAGGGAGTGAGCTGGTGAGTTTGGGAATTTTTAACATGAATGTGCGCCGCGCGGAGGCGAGAGCTGAACTTTTAACAGGAACCGACCTCAATTACCACTTTCAGAACGGATGTGCGCAGCGCAACGGCGAGAGTCACATTTTGAAGTTCAAAGCAAATCTGCGCAGCGCTAAGGCGAGAGGCACACTTTGAACAGGAGAGTCACATTTTGAACATCCGCCCTCAATCCGTGAAACCCTTACCAACATTTAAAGCGAATGTGTGCGGCGCTGAGGTGAGAGTCAGATTTTGAAAAGGAACCATCCTCAATCCGTGAAGTTTTGTGATGTTCTAAATGAATGTGCGCGGCGGTCAGGCGAGAACTGCATTTTTAAAAGGAACCGCCCTCAATCTGTGAAGTCGGGGCAAATGTTTAAAACGATTGTGCGCGGCATTAAGGCGAGATATACATTTTGAATACCACCCTGCCTCATTTCGTGAAGTCCCGGCAAATGTTGAAAACAAATGCGCGCGGTGCCAAGGCGAGAGTCACATTCTAAAAACTACCCGCCCTCAATCCGCGAAGCTCTTGACACCTTTTAAAGCGAATGTGCGCGGGGTTTTGGCGAGAGTCGCAGTTCAAACACCACCCGCCCTCAATCCGTGAAACTGTTGCATACTTTTAAGACGAATGTGCACCGCGCTGAGGCGAGAACCACATTTTTGACAGGAGCCGCCCTCTACCCGCGAAGCTGCTGCAATTGTTTTCAACGTGTGTGAACGGCGTTAAGGTGAGAGCCACATGTTTAAAACCACCCGCCCTCAATCCGTGAATCTCCCGAAGTTTTTGAAGCGAATGTGCACCGTTCTGAGGTGAGGACCACATTTTGAAAACGACCCGCTTTCCATCTGTGTAGCTGTTGCCAGCGCCCGGCCCGCCCTAAAAGCTAGCCTCGGGGTGCGACAGGGAGAAGATCTTTATAAGGAAAAGGACATGCAGGAGGAGGAGGAGGAGGTGAAGGAGGAGGAGGGGAGGAGGAGGAGGAGTGGGAGGAGAAGGGGGAGCAGGAGGCGGACGAGCAGGAGGAGGCATGCTTGAGCCGAGGTTGACACACATTCGAGAGCTCCCGGGATGCGTCGGGCCGCCGGCAAAGAGCCTCGGAACGAGGTGGGATGCGTGCAACTGCGGGGGCAGGGCTTTACACACTCAGGGACAGGCTACGAGGCAACCCTCTGCATCATCGGAAACTGGAACATATACACTACCAGTGGCGGGCTGTTTTCAATCCCAGGACTTCTCAAGGGTCGAGGACGATGTTGGGATGGTGTGGTGTAGACTTTTTTCCCCGTTGTCCCGGGGAAATAACGAACAATTATACACCAGGGTCCCGTATACACCAGGATCCGCTCTCCAGTGCAAATTCCAATACAGGGCCGGAAGAAGCGTCGGTGTATAGAGTTCGATTCCCTACATTATACCATGCCTCAACTCGGAGGAGGAATAGGTACCCATACAGCTACCATTCGCCCGTTTTCCCTTTCGAGGGCATCCTGGGAGGCCTTCGTCAACACCGGTGGATTGGCAATGAGATTCTGTTTGGGCAGACCCTGTGAGAGGTCTCGGAAGTAACCGTATCGGTACCTTCTGAGTCCCCCAATAGAAACTCTACCAGACAGCATTTTGCATGTGCCAGGGTGCGCGCGGGTGGATCATAGGCCCAACCAGATGTGTTGTTTCAGTATGCTGCGTGCAGCTGGGGCTGGCTGACTTCGTGCGGTGAAAAAGAGACACCGAGACAACCGAAAACGGTGACCAGTATCTGAATGCAGACCACGAAACAATTCCAAGAAGCAGGAGAGAAGCAGGGAACATACAGTGGAGGGAGTTGATATAAACAGGGAGGGGCCAACGGGACTGGACATGACAAGACAGAACACGAATAGGCAATTTAAACTGTTTCGAAGGTGTGGACATGCTCCCAAGAGGATCGTCAGGAGAGAGACTCACAAGAGCCAGAATACCACCGCCGCCATCCTCGCACCAAAACAGGGATGGACCGACAGCTAGTGAGAGGGAGAGAGAGAACCATCACTCTTGAATATTACACTTGGCAACATCCAGAAGATGCCACGTTCTGCTAGCGGACCCTGTGACACTACACACTTTTGTGACTGAATCGCATCGGCGACGATGGGTGCGGGGGCTACATGACCTACGGCCTTGGGAGCAAAGCCAGGTTTTCGAAACCAGCTAAGCCTTGGTGCACGTTGTCTCAACGTTCCAGCTGATCCCTGCAGCTGGTCACCATCCAGGATCTTGAGGAGGTTCCTTTTACCCTCTTTGCGGGTCGCGCTGGAGACGAAGACCCCAGAGGAGCGGATACGTTCGGCAATGGAATCCGAACCTTACCTTCGCCGATCAACGATTCTGGCAACCAGATGGGCGGCAGGGGTTGGGTTGGGAATGTGTCGAGCACGTGGCAAAATCCGAACCCTCCCCCCTCTCATCGATTCAGGAGAATCGATGATTGGTGAAGTTGGGTTACGTTCGACCAGAGCTGGTTCGGCGGCGGCCAACAACGCCACATGCTGCGATTGAGCGCCTCGAGAGTCTCACCAGCGCGTGGCGTCCAACATTTTCCCCCAAGATGGCCCTCAATGCAACCACAGATGGTCCCAAGCGAACCCCACGAGGGTACTTGCTTCCTGCTTCCTCCTGCTTTCTCCTTTCACTTTGGCAGCTCACTTTCCGGAGAAGCGTTGTTGCGGCGTATTATTATTGAGTGCACCTCATGAGGCCTGGCACGCAGGCAAAGAAATCAAGAAACCAGATGCCGCCCTGCCCGCGGCGCCGGCTCCGCTGCCGCCGCAGACGACGACGGCGGAGACGACGGCGACGACGACGACAACCATCTTACGATCATGCGTTCTATGAATATGATTTCACCTCCATTTGTTCTTCCCTCACCCTTGTCCCCGCCCGCCCAGTCTATGAAGCACCCCTCCCATGCCTCCGAGGGTCGGAGTTACCCTGGCTCGCTCTGCGGGCCGCCCGGCGCTTCCGAGCGCCGTGCCGCTGAAGCCAGCCATCCGCGGACCCCGTGGGCGGCCGGGAGCCCTGGCGGCCTCCGGAGGAAGCCGCCAGCCCCCAGCGGGGTGTCGACAGCACGGCTCCCCGATCGCCGGCCAGCAGACGGAGCGGCTCGCAGAGGGGGCGCGAGCGCGGCCGGATGCCCTCGCCGCCCCCGTGCGTCGCCAGGAGCTCTTCCTGGAAGAGCTGCGCGGCGCGGACGGGGCCAGGGAGCAGGGAGGAGGAGGAGGAGGAGGAGGAGGAGGGGGAGGGGGAGGAGGAGGGGGAGGAGGAGGAGGAGGAGGAGGAGGAGGAGGAGGAGGAGGAGGAGGAGGAGGAGGAAGATGAGGAAGGGGAGGAGGAGGGAGCAGGGAATGGGCTTCGGAGGAGCTTTTTGGAGGGAGGACGGACCACCAGGTTTTGTTTCGCGGTCTGTACATCGGCCGTCCGTGGGCGGGGCCCGAACGGGGCCTCCAGAAAGGCGTCTCGAGCTTCCGCTCGGCCCGACGGCGAGAGTGTCCAGCGAGTCGATTCCCAGTAGCCGTCGGAGTTTGGGCGCCCCTGATCGAAGAGCAGGAAACGCCATGAACATACATTTTTCGCGCCCCGCGCGGATTTTCTTGGATCCGCGCTGGGCCCTCCAGGCGGCGCCTCAGGCGCCGCCCCTGGCGCGCTCCGCGCGCCAGGGAGGGGGGTCCAACGCCGATCCCAGAAATCCGCGCGGACCTCCGAGTTTTGTGTTTCTGTCGATGTTTCTTTCCCTATGAGTTCCGCGCAGCGTCTCGCCGTCCCTCCTGGGCTCCTCCATGCAGGCGCTGTGCAACTGCTCTGATGTTCGGCTCTTCTTGCCTCTCGTCGGCCCTGGATAGTACGTGTGCCGACCCTGCCAAAGCAAGGGTACCCTTGTGCCGTGAGTCTCGCCGTCGCAATCCATGCCTCCTACATTCCTATGGCACTGTTGACCTCAGGAGAGGGTCTTGTGTCCTCTGCCGTGCCCTGTCTAATCAAGTCCGACCGTATTCTTCCTCCGTCACCCCTCCGCCATGGCGAATTACCCAAGCTGTGTCGTTGCTTCGGCTAATCGGCCCACGCTCGTCGCCAGCTCTCGATC